GGGGCCAGGGCGATAGTACAGTGGGTAGGGTATTTGCCTTGCATGCGGGCAACCTGGGTTCGATCCTTGGCACCTAATAAAGTCCCCTGAGGACAGAGCCAAAAATAATACGCCCCGAGCACTGCCAGATGTGGCCAAAAATTTTTGTTAAAATTTAAAAAGCCCAAGAAGATACTTGCTAATTTCCCAGATGTGAAGATAGCTAAATGGGTAATGGCAATGCAAGCTGAAGGGGTAAAACTCATCTGTAGGGCTGGAAAGATGGTAGAGTGCGTTGCATACAGCCTTGTATGTGGTAACCCAGATTCAACTCCTAGCAACCCATAAGGTCCCTTGAGTACCACCAGGCATGATCTCTGAGCAGAGAGTTGGCAGGTAAGCCCTAAGCACTGCTGGGTATGGCCCCACAACAAAACAAGAAAATTCATCTATCGCTCAAGAATTCACAGAAGCTTTAATGAATTGTAAGTTGGTAAGCTTATATTCTGGTAAGCTGGAACAGCCAGTGAAGTGTGTGAAATACTTTAGATTTCAAACGTATTTTTTTAAGATTTGGTGTTTTTCATATTTTGTTTCTCAATCCAAAGATGAAAAAAATTCTAATTCTGATGGTCCCATGTGTAGCTTAGTAACAGAGCACTGCCTTGCGTGTGTGAGGTTCTAGGTTTTCTCTCCAGCACACCACACACACACACACACATACACACACACACACACACATACACACACACACACACATGCACACGCACACATACACAGAGTTTTCTTTTAATTATTTCTAAAGAAGCCAGGAGATAGTTCAGTGCTTGCCTTGTGTAGGTCATGAGTTCTATCCCTAGTTTCACTGTATATACTGAGTAAGATTCTGACACTTCGGCCATTTGAAAGCCCTGGCACCACAATGATGGTTGATCACATAGTGGCTGTTAAGTATATGGGATTGCTTCAACTAAACGGTGTGACTCCCCAGCTCCCTGCCCCAGTACGCACATCAACTAAAAATATGAAGAGCTCTGTGGCTAGGAGAATACAACCACTGAACATAAACATCAAAGCCATCCCTGGTAAGCATTACAACCAGAATGTACATTAGCACAACTAAAAGGTATGATCCCCTATTGAGCATCAAAACCGTCCAACCCCTCTACCCCGTGCAACAAGATCAACAAAGAGAAGGAAAGGGGGCAAGGAAACAAAAGATTTTAGAGTGACTTATAAAGTACTCAGCTTTCATACTTTGTTTGCAGGGTTGACAATGGGAGAGTTATATAAAAATCACCTATAACCCCAAATCATCACATTTCCTAAATCCCTGTTCTTCAACCTGTGGTTTGTGGACAAATATATGGAAATTTTCTGGCAATCAGCCAAAAATATACCCCACGGATCCCCCAAATCATGTAGCAGCTAAAGTGAGCAGAACGCTTCACTGTTTTTTGTAGTAGTTCTGAAATATTTCTCCTACTTTCCCTGGTCCACAGGTGTATGAAGGTTGAAGAATGCGGCCCTAAATAATAGTAGAAAATGTAAAAATAAAGACAACTCAGTTTTGGAAACACACAAACCAATATGGAAACAAATGATTGGCTGATTGATAAATAAGTAAATCCAGGCAAACTTTTCCTTTAACAAAATATACAGATGAGAGGGACAGAGGGCTGGCTGGGAGGGAATCCTGAGATAATGGTTGAGAAAAGCTGATATTACAGTGGATAGTGTGGTGTTGGAACACTGCATGCATAAAATCTTATCATTTAGGGGCTGGAGCAATAGCACAGCGGGTAGGGTGTTTGCCTTGCACGTGCCCAACCTGGGTTCGATTCCCAGCATCCCATCTGGTCCCCTGAGCATCACCAGGGGTAATTCCTGACTACAGAGCCAGGAGTAACCCCTGTGGCATCGCTGAGTGACCCAAAAAGCAAAAAGCAAAAAAAAAAAAAAAAACCTTATCATTTAACAGTACTGTCAATCAGTTTTAAATTAAAAAATCAAAATTTTGAATAAAATTTTAAAAAAAGAATGTGGCAAAAAAATACTAATAAGAAAAAGCAAAAATTAAATTGAGGGACTGGAGTGATAGCACAGTGGGTAGGGCGTTTGGCTTGCATGGGGCCAACCCGAATTCGATTCCCAGCATCCCATATGGTCCCCCAAGCACTGCCAGGAGTAATTCCTGAGTGCATGAGCCAGAACTAACCCCTATGCATCGCTGGGTGTGACTGAAAAAGCAAAAAAGTAAAATAATAAAATAAATTGAAATGCACCATGCCCATGGGATCAGAGCAATAGTAACCTCTGAGCAGTGCCAGGTGTGGCTCCCAAAATAGGACAATCTGGCAAATGGGAGAAGATATTTCCACATCTGGTAAGAAGTTAACAGTCAAAACATATACTGGATTAAAACAACTCAACAACAACAAAAGTAAGCAACCCAATTTAAAAAAAAAAAAGAGCAAAAGATCCTTTTGGAAGACACTTCTCAAAAAAAAAAAAACGGGGGCTGAGGATGTGCCACAGTGGTAGAACATATGCTTTACATATGTGAAGTACTGAAATGAATTGCTAGTACTGCTCCCCCATCCAAATCCAAGACAGAGATACAGATGACCCACAGACACAAGAAAATAAGTTCAACCTCTCTATTGGGGGGGCGGGGGAGTATGGGGAGCTCACCTGGCTGTGCTTAGTGCTTCTGACTTTGCACTCAGAGCTCAGTCCTGGTGAGGCTCAAGTGACCATATTGGGGTGCTGAGGATATAACCTGGGTTAGTTGATGGCAAGGTAAATACCCTACCCTCTGTATTATTGCCCTGGCCCCTCAACATCTCTCTCCTTTTGCTTTTCAACAACTCTTATTAGGAAAAAATAAATCCACAATGTGAAATCATCTAACTGGTGAGAATACTCGAAGTAAAAAAGATGGGAAAACAGCAAGTATTGGAAAGAACGTGGAGAAAAAGGAGCTCTGGTATACTTGGTGGTGGCAATGTAAATTAGAGCAGCCTCTATGGAAAATGGTATGCAAATAGCTCTTAAAAATAAAAATGGAAATTCCTATTTGATCCAGAAGCACAACGACCAAGCATCTATCCAAAGTGTACAAAAACAATAATTTGAGGCTTACTCTTCATGCCCTTGTTCTCTCTTGAACATGGTCTTGCTTGTCTATGGCTCTGCTTTCTTTTTCCACCCTGGAGAAGCTTCTCTCTTGAACTTCCTCTCTTTCTCACTCCTCAAATCTTTCTGTTTCATTCAATAAAAATTATCTTTACAGAAGATAGGGTATTTGCCTTGCACACAGCTGACCCTGGTTTGATCCCTGGCATCCACATGGTCCCCAAGCACTGCCTGGAGTGCAGAACCAGGAGTAACCCGAGTATCACCAGGTACGACCCAAAAACTGAAAAATAATTTTTTTTAAAAAAATTATCTTGCTTCACTAAAAAAAAAAATAGCAAACAATAATTCGAAAGGGTATTTGCACCTTTCTGTTCATAGCAACAATTATTGACAGCCAAAACATGTAGTTAAGCTAAATGCCTAATAACAGATGAATGCATAGAGAAACTGTCAACAGTATATGCCTTTACGATTTAAAAAGATGAAATAGTACCTTTAAGACAAAATGGAAAGCTCTTAAGGTGAGTATTCTGTTAAGTGAAATAGAGTGAAAGGCCAAAAAACCTTGGTAGTTAGTAGAGAGATGGAAGGAGGTGTGCAGAATGAGTAGAGGGGGTTTTCTTCCACCGGTATGATGGCTCTGGAATTTCGGGTGTGGAATACAGAGAAATGAAGCTCAAGTTCCATACTATTGTAAACCAATGAAAATAAATTCACAATGAGTTATAGGAAATTTCAAATTTATAATGAACTCCTCTTCCCATCCCAGCTCTACCATCTGAATTCTTTTTGCATCCTCTTGACAATCCTACAGACTCCTTAACCTAATCAGCAACCGTATAGCACTGGTTTTCGTCATGTAAGTTTCTTACTCTCATATTCAAAGCCTCATTTAAAAAAGCGATTTTTGGTGAAGCAAGATCATTTTTATTCAAATTCATTTCAAAAGATGTGAGGGAAGAGAAAAGGGGGAGAGGGAGAGAAACTGATTAAAAACCGAAAGAGACATGAAATTGAGAGCTTGGAATACCTAACTCTCCCTAACCAATCTTTTGAAAATGAAGTTGTCTGGATGAAGCATACCTTTAATTTATACATGCCAAGTCCGATCCTTTGGAGGTAACTATTACATAACACCTAATTTGTCTCTCAATAAATTCATTAGCACTATAACGGGTACTTCTTCTTTAAAGTATGCCCCGCACTGCAACTGACCTCAACAATGTCGTGGTTTTCCCCCCAAGGACAGAAAACTTTTCTCTTCAAATTCCAGGAATGACAACTGGTTCTCTAAGGAATCGAGAATAATGGGGCGAGGGGGCCATCAACGTTAATATCCACCTTTTCACATAAACCGGGGTCCACGGTGAGGTGGTGACATTTCCAAGCTGCTCAGACACTCGATTTCCATCGGGAGAGAATTTGGGCACCGAAAGCAATGCAACCTGGTACCCTGGCACGGCTGCAGTTAACACCTTATTTTTCCAACGGATTCTCATCCGTTATCTCCATGCGCCTTCCCGCTACCCCCAGAGGGAGAACCCAGGGAGAGGGCAGCCACCCCGTGCCTCGACAGGCACGCCACCGGCCAAAGGTCACGCGCACCGTTCCATCTTCCACTCGAGTAACAAAGCCCTGGCAAACCCTTCCAGAATCTTCTACCAGGGAATGATCTCGAACCCCCCCCCCCCCCCCCAAAACTTCAGCCTTTTACGCCGCGTCTCCTCGGCGGCCCCGAAGAACTGCGGCGGGGGCTGCGGGGAGGGGCCGAAAGAAGGGCGCCGTGTGGGGGAGCCCCCCGACAGCCCGCACGTCGCGCCCGGCCCGGGGCGGGGGGGCGCGGCCGATGCTCGGGGGACCCCCGAGGCCGCGCCACTCACCTGCGGAGCCGATTTCCATTCATGGAGCTGGGGAGAGTGCCGGGAGCGAGAAGGGCGCCCGCCACGGGGGGGCGAGGAGACCGCGCAGGGGGCGACGCGGCGCCACGGGGACCCTCAGCCGGCCCGGAGGCGGGGAGGAGGGGGTGGGGGGCGACGGCTTCTCTTCAGCCCCCACGCTGCGCACGACGCCCCCGCGAGCAAGAGCGCCTGAGAGGACGGAGTCGCGTGAGGCGCGGCGAGGGGAGCCCCGCGCGGAACTTGCGTCGCCCGCAGCCGCTGACGCTTCCCGGCCCCTCCACGACTGCGGCGCCGCCGCCGCCGCCGCTCTCCCCGGGGCCGCCCCCGGAAGCCCACTGGCGTCAGTTCCGCCGCCCCGGCTCGCTCGACGTCCCGGCGTCGCCTCTCCGGGCCCTGCGGCGCGGGCGAGGCGTCGGTGCGGACGTGGACGCGGACGCGGACGCGGCCGGGCGCGGAGGACGCAGAGGCGGCGTCGGCGGGGCCGGGGCGGGCCCAGAGGGGGCGTGGCTGGCCCGGCCGCCGCCCGCCGCCGTTTTCGTGCGGGCGGGAGCCGAGCTCCGTCCGGACTCCCGAGTGTCGCCGGCTGCTGGGCGGCGCCTGTCCGACCAGGGTCGTGCACAGCGGGCGTAGTTGGGCCGTGACGCCCACCTGGAGCGCGGGGGGTCTGCCCTGCAGGATCTGCACTTGGCAAAGCAGAGTGGGTCTTGCGCCGGGCACCCTCGTGTTTCCCCCTCGGCAGGCAATCGGTGACCACAACGGATCCCCCCCAAATCATCCGGGTTGCCTTGACAACCCTTTCTGGGGACGGGGTGGGCACAGAGTATACAACAGAGTATGGGAGAGTATGGCTAGGAAACGGCATAACATCAAATCGGAGCTTTCCATGTGTAAAAACTCTTGGGACGGAGCCTCACCAGACCCAGATGGGACAAGTAACAATCTCTGCTCTTCCAAGCTACTCTCTCCCTCCTCGTTCCTTTGCTAGATCTACCTCTCTGCTTCTAATGCACCTAGCGCACAAAACGCCTGTCTGTGGTTCCTTTAACCAAGAACCATATCCTTTCTCTTGGCCCACCTCTCTCCCCCATCTCTTTTCACCCCCTTCTATCCTTCACCTTCAGAGACCTTCCGTGGTATCATGGATCTATAACGGGACACCTGTTAGTCTATTACAGAATCTCCTGAACCCCTCTCCCAATCTGTATCTTTACTTATTTCGCAACCCTCCACCAGAATCTAAGCTTTAGAGTAAGGTTACCTGGACCATGCATTAATTGGCTATAAGTGACTATTGTCTTAATGAAAAGCGACACTGTTTTATTCTGGCTTGAGGATAATTCGTGACTATGACACCAAGCAACGGCAATGTTTTGGTGGTTTTGTTTTTGGGTCACCCCTGGCGATGCTCAGGGATCACTTCTGGTGGGCCCAGTGGTGCTGCAGATAGAACCTTGGTCAGCCAGGTGCAAGGTAAGCATCCTATCCACTGTACTGTTGCTCCGGCCCCATTGTTTATATTTTTAAATATAAATTTTTTTTATAACAAAAAAGAAAGTATTTTCTGTTCTCCCCTCATCACTCTGGAACTTACACTGGTTACTTAACTTCTGGGCTTCAGATTTTATTGAAAAAAATGGAGCATATTATGTACTTTACATAGTAGTAGGGGCTGGAGCGATAGCACAGCGGTAGGGCATTTGCCTTGCACGCAGCCAACATGGCCGGCCCGAGTTCGATTCCTCCGCCCCACTCGGAGAGCCCGGCAAGCTACCGAGAGTATCTCGCCCGCACGGCAGAGCCTGGCAAGCTACCCGTGACATATTCGATATGCCAAACACATTAACATTAACATAGTAGTAAGGCCAAGGAATGTACATAAAACAGACTGTGGTGGGGAGAACCTCCTCCCTGCTAGTGAATCTTAAGAAGTATGTAATAAGGTATAGAAGGTAGGGTGCTTGCCTTGCATGTAGTCTAACCCACTTAGATTAGATCCCAGAAACCCATATGGTCTCTTGGGCCCCACCATGATGACTATTGGGTGCAGAGCCGGTAAGCCCAGAACACTGCTGTGGTCCAAACTCTCCCTCCCCTACACAAAAGTATCTGCCTGAGTTACTAATTTAAGGCATTTATTAAACTTAATAGATGAGATTCAAATCCACATCTGTCTTACTCATTCAATCCTGTCTCACTTCTACCTTCCACCTCTACGCCTTTGAAATTGCCTGTCCCAATTTTATTTTGGCCCACCCAGGCAATCTTCAGGGACCCTGGATCCCAGTGATATCTGGACCAGCTGTGCATGCTAAATGGTTCAATGTTCCAGCAGGCAATGCAGGACTTCTCAGACCCAGTAGTGATCAGGGGCCACCAGGATTACATCTGATTGGGGAGAGGCAGTGGAGGGAAGCACACATATGATATAGGGAATCAAACTTGGGGCCTCCACATGTCAGGCGTGAAGCTCCCAATCCTCCCTAATTTTAAAGACTCTCACTGGAAGTCACTAGACAAAACAATGTACCTTAAGAATCAAGTTTCCATCCTTGATTTCAGTAGCATCATATGACAGTCATCAAATGACTACCCTCAAACAACTTGATTCTGAAACTGGTTCCTTAAAAATGACTGCAGGTTTCTTTGGCTTCTAGAATGGACACGATAATTACCCTAGAGGTGGGTCACTGTCATTTTTGGGGGGGGGGTCACACCCGGCGATGCACAGAGGTTACTCCTGGCTCATGCACTCAGGAATTACTCCTAGCGGTGCTCGGGGAACCATATGGGATGCTGGGAATCAAATCTGGGTCTGCTGCATGCAACGCAAATGCCCTACCCACTGTGCCACTGCTCCAGCCCCACACTGTCATATTTTATTGTAGATATTAACAGCAGGATTTAAATCTTTAAACTCAATAAATTTCAATGATGCCTTCCATCTATTTCTGCTACCAGGGACCAACTTTTTCAGAATGATTCCTCATGATAGAATTATGAATTTTATCAGAACATAAAAAAGCAAACATCTTGGGCTGGAGTGATAGCACAGCAGGTTGGGCATTTGCCTTGCACACGGCCGACCCGGGTCCGATTCCCAGCATCCCATATGGTCCCCTCAGCACTGCCAGGAGTAACTCCTGAGTGCAGAGCCAGGAGTACCCCCTGTGCATCACTGGGTGTGACCCAAAAAACAAAACAAAACAAAAAAAAAGCAAACATCTTTAAAGAGTTTCCTCCAAAAGAGAGTTGTGTGAGACACTTTCCTGACCACCCATGCACACCCTGTTTTCAATAACCCCAATCCCAGAAGAGTTTGATCTTAAAAGCATCTTTTGTTTTGTTTGACTATTCCTGATGTTCTGGGTTTATTCCTAGTTCAGCACTCAGGAATTACTCCTAGCAGTGCTTAGGGGGCCACATGAGATGCCAGAGATCAAACCTGGGTCATGTACATGCAAAGCAAGCTCCCTACTCACTATACTACCATTCTGGCCCCAAAAGCATCTTGTTAACTGTCATAGTCCCAGTGCCCAGAATAGTACCAGCGCCTGGTACATTGCAGCATTCAGCAAATACTTATGGGACAGATGGATGAACTAGTGGGTGTTAAGAATGGCACTGAGGAAGCAGGCTAAAAACCTGTCCTCATTCCTTTAGGCACTGATTGCTCTCAGAAGGGAAAACTATCAAATAGTACAAAAATCTGATGGCATGAATTTCAATGTACTCTGAAACTTGAGTCGCTTAAGCAGTAAGCCAAATGTTCAATTCAAAATTTCTATTGCTGAGAATCGCCCTTGGAAACCTTGACAGTGCTTAGGTGCTTCCACCTTCCCAAAGCCCCAAATTATATTTTTATGTGTGTGTGTATGTGTGTATCCAGAGAGTTAATATAGGAGTTGAGCTGCTTGCCTTGCATCTGCTGACCCAAATTTTGAATCCCTAGCACTGCATATGATCCCGAGCAGGGCCAGCAGTCACTCCTAAGCAGATCCAAGTACAGGCCTCCTCTGAGCACCCTCTCCCCCCAAATTAACACATTATGATATAGACTAGGGATGTGACTCAATGATAAAGTATCTGCCTTAAAGCATGAAATCAGGGTTTAATCCTCAACACAAGAAAACGGGGGGGGGGGGGGGGGGGAGAGGATTAAAAAGTAAAACTAAGAGAAGGCAGTAAAAATCAAATAAATTCTACAAAAATATTTACATAATTTTCAAAAATTTTGCTTTTTAAGATGAAAATATAAGTCATAGACTGAGGAAAATATTTGAAAAATATATATATGTCCAAGAAAGGATCATCTAGAACTCTTTTTTGTTGTTTTGGGGCCACATCCAGTGGTGCTCAGGGCTTACTCCTGGCTCTGAGCTCAGGGATCACTCCTGACCGTACTCAGGGATGATATGAGGTACAGGGATTGAACCCAGATAGATCTGCAAGACAAGCACCGTATCTGCTATACAATCCGTTCAGCCCCTAAAAAACTCTTATGAACGGTAATAGGAAAAGCAACCCGAATTTAGAGTGGATAAAAATTCTGAACATTTTCCCAAATATACCTGGAGAATGGGGGGCAAAGAAATATTTTAAGGGCTAAAGCACATGCCTGGCATGTGGAACCCCAGTTTGATGGTCTTTAGGGTTCCCCTAGCACTGTTAGGTTGTCTCTTGTGACCCCCAGTATCAGTAGACATCAGTACACGTCACCAGCCAGACCCAAGCTTTTAAAAACTGTCTAGCCACACATCTGTTGTTGGGATTGTCTCCAGGAGCCCTCTAAGCCCAAAATACCTGGAGAGTTTATAAGCATATTGGAAAACCAATTGTTAATAGATCTTGGGAAAAAGCAAAATGAGCTATCAAATACCCATTGCACTCAGTAAAGATAGGATGGCCATCTGTCTTCTCTGCTGGTGAAGCTTGAAGTCTAGCAAATCAGGTTCAAGGACTTCGCACCTGTCTCTTTCTTGCCGCGACTGTCATTCCACTTTTATCTGGTCTTAGGTTAACTGGGCTACAATAAGCACCATCATTGGTGAGAACAAACGTATAAAACCTATTTCTCTTACAAAGGCTGAAATTTGTAAAGTTGAGAGCTGAGTTCAAATGTCCTAGATCAGCAGTTTTTACATAGTAGAAAGAAAGCTACTCTATACCACATTGGCACACAATATCGTCTTTAGGGTTGAAGATCTGCTCCTATGCTACTTTATACCACATTGGCACACAATATTGTCTTTAGGGTTGAAGATCTGCTCCTATGATCTCTAATTTTAAGAAACTCACTAAGTCTCACATTCCTCATTTAGAAAAGTCAGAATACCTACAAAATGCAGACACTGCTAAATATGTATGCAAGAGCCGTGAGCTCCTCCCCATCCCCAATCCCGCCACCCCTGCCTTTCTTGCCTATTAATCAAGATGATTGAGCCCATCTTCCCATACACAAAAAATAAATAAGAAAGGAAGAAAATAACAAGGAAGGAATGAACGCAGAACTCACATGTGTGACCATTATACCATCAGCTTAAACTAGAAAACCACATAATCTCCAAATTAAAGTGAGAGTATAAAAAGATTATGGTAATCTGATTACGTTTCTCCTTACCTAAAGATTCAGGAACGCTGAGTCCATTGGTGTGCTCCATATCTCCTCTTCATTCCCCTCCCACCTTCGAAGTTCATGAATCACAGATACCTAATTCATTCCAATTCTATTCACAAAATATTTACCCCTTGATATATGTGATTATTTGGAGATAACAATGAATAGAAAGTAGTTACTGCTTCTAGGCATTTACAGGAAAAAGTAATGAAAATAGATTAGTCTGTAAGTTCTAAGTGCACTTGAATACCATCTATGACATTGGTTAGAAACAAAATTTTAAAAAAGAATTAAAAAAAATAAACAAAATTAAGTCTGTTTATTTTGTTCTCTTACAAGTATCTCTGGAAAACAGGAAGAAGCAGGTCCTGGTGGTGGGGTGAGTAACTTGGAAGCCATAGTCTTAGTCTTATTTAAATTAGGTTTTTCCGGGGTTCGGGGTTCGTTCTCAAGAAATGAGAATGACGATAAAATTTTAAGATCCAGAGAAGATGGGGTAAAATATGATAAACTGAGTAGAATAAAAATCCTCTCCTTTCTATAGTTTATGATGTTCCATCTTGGATTCTATTCTACTCCTGTTCCAACTCATTAAATCAGCCAAAAATGTATACGGTGTCTACTAATGATCTGATAGTCATCTTATATTGTACTTCTCCTTTTTCTTAAATTGATTCCTATAGCTATAAACTATGTTTCTCTTACTCTACTCTTTTTCTAAGCCATTTTTAAAAAAATTCCTATGGCTTTAACTACCATCTCTATGAATACAAATCCATAGCTGTAATTGCTGTTTTACAATATTCCCTGAGCACCAAAAAGTAAATGTTTACTGGCAACCTTAACCTTGTTGCCCTATGGGAACTTAAGTACTCAGTCTACATAAGACTAAACTGTCTTTCTTCACAAAATTCACCACCACCTCTATAATACCTCCTCTATCCCTCAATCTTGACTAGAGTAACATACCTATATATTCACTTGCTCAAACAGAACCTGGACATTCACCTCTATCTCTTCCCTAAATCCCATTAATTCTCCTTTGTCTCTCAAATCTGCTCTCCTTAACTACGCATGTTACAGTCTATCATCTCTCTCCTGTATCAGCAGATCACTTGACTACTCATATCTCCTAACAAATTTAACCTCCTTAAGGAGAGTGTCACTATTTTCCTCACTTTTGCATTGTGGCTACCTTCTACCCCACAATACTGCTGGACAAAGCGTTTTGCATGTTTGTTGAATTTAGAGTAAGTGGAAGTACCATGATGTATGTTTGCATAGATCTGCAATTTCAATACTCTATAATTTACTTCCTTCCTTTGGATGTAATGGTTCTATTCTTCTAACAATCTATGATTCAAACTTAAAAATCTATCAGAAATGTAATTAACACCCAGTTCTGCTTTGCTAATAGGAAAAAAAAAGAGAAAGAGACCGCACTTTAGAAATAGAAGCCACTGTTGTCTTTATAAAACACAGAATTGTGCTGCTGCTGATGCTTGCTTCAGAAGGAACTGTACATTACTTTTGCTGGAATAATTTTACAATAGACCGGACAAGGTACAGCTCAAAGCAGGACACAAACACAAGTCTCAAAGGGAAACAAATGCAAACAAGTGTACAGCTGTGGGACTCCAGGGACATGTCCCCATCCATGCTGGAGGGATTAAAAAAGTTCAGAAACTAAAGTGAAACCCAGAGTAGTTACACATGCCCACCAAATGGCTGCTAAGTGCAACATCACACACAAATCAGGTTGGACTGTGTGCACAGGAATGTCATTTCATTTTCCTTATTGCTACTACACCAGGGGACTTAGTGCATTTGACACATTGTCTTTAGTTGCACAATTCTTGGAGGGTTTCCTCTTTTCTTTTTTAAAGAAGAAAAATCTGTGTTCCCTACATTATTCTGGTTTTATTTTGTTTTGAGCCTATTCCCTCCCTCACATTCTTGGCTCCAAAACAGTAGCCAGAGTCTTAAATCCGTAAGAACTGAATAAAAGGAGAGCACCAACCTGGCCTCTCTCCCTGCCCAGGGAGAAGGCAAGACCTAGTAAATGGAGGCAAGAGAAAAACCAGAGAATCCCTTTACCCCAGTCTGCTTAGAAGAACAATAGGAAGAGTGCCTGCATATCCCTGCCATGATCAGACTATAAGGAAGACATCCCAGTCACTATCCTGGGCTGACCTAGGTGCTGTACATATAAATAACAAGAGCTTCCCAACATACTTTCCACAACTAGATTTTGGCTAGTTTGAAATGACTATCCACCCTGAAGAGGAAGAAGCTCCCATCCTTGTTTGTGACACATGATGACACATCTTAAACACTGTCTTAGACTTAGTAATAGCCCACGGGCCAGCTAAGAAGTTAATGTGTCTCCTTGGCTGCCAATCTTGAGTGCTAGCCTCATTTATGGAATTTTGTACAAAAAGAAAACTAAGAACATTGTTGTTTGGCCAAGAGCAGACCACAGGGGATCTATCTAATAGGTGGGAATCAGGAACTTTTGGGGAGGTCTCATATTTTGAGATGCCTTCTTTTGCACCATTTTTCTAAGCCTAAGTTCCCAGCAAGAGCCCAAGTTATCCAGCCCCAGAGGCCAGCAGTGTGCACCTCATCTCCAATGACGCAGGCTGGACTTGAGATATGATCAATAAGCAGTGTTCCCTTTTTTCATCTTTCATCCAAATTCTTCCCACCACTGTCTTATTCTCCCATTCCCTAGCCCTCTAACCCTGGATAACCATTAATTTTGACACCCTCATAAAAGGCAGGCCCCATTGACAACTAGAACCAGATCTAGAAAAAGCAACGAGAACCCAATGTGAAGGAAAGGACAGGTGTGGAAACTGCCAGAAACCCTTCTGATACCTTGTCAGCTAGGTACATTACCTTGAGGGCAGGCCAAAGAAGTTATCACTAGGCTTGGAGAATAGATTCTTGAAGAACCTATTCTAGGCAGCCAAGGAGGTGAGCCTAACCTTACCAGCTAACAAGCTAACAGTGGGATCATTGTAGCCATGCAGAGAATTCATCATCACATAGGCAGACAGATAGGCTTGCAGGCCAGCAAGCAAGCTGAGTAAATTTAAAAGTGACAAAGAAAGCCAGGAAAAGAGAGAAAAGAAAAAGGCAGGCAAAAAAAGTGGAATCAAGGGAGCAAGAAAATTGTCTAGGAAGATCAGGCTTGGGTCCCTCCAGAACTTCTTCATAGTTAAATAAGAGACACCATTTAAACCAAACCCAAGAAAACCAAAACTTTTGCCCATACCACTTCTTAATCTGTACACAACACTTTCAAACAAGAATAATCCTCAAACTCAAGAATATTTTTCAAGTCTCAAAGATTAAAAGTATCAGAGCAGTCATTTCCTTGCCCAAGCTGCTTCTCTTCCTTTATTTCTTGAATGGCAAGTGTGCAATGCCAAAGGGCTTAAAAATGCGTTTCAAGTTCCAGCTCAAAACCCAAATGAAGAGAGTGAGGCAAAGAGAAAAAAAGGAAAGAACACAAACATGTTGCTGAGAGGAAGTGGCTACCACCAGCTCCCTATGGACATTTGCAAATGCTGGTGAATGACTGAACCCTCCAGGAATAGTGCCCTGATCCCAGCCCCAAAATGCACCCCAAAAGAACATACAGAGCTCATTGTCCCAAGAAAGCTCCCCTCCCTACAGTGTGACTGAACATGCAGTAGACATATGAAGGCGATGGACAGGGTAGATGGAGTGTTGGCATCACTCTCTTTAGGCACTTGTGTAAGAAATGTAGGCTCTCCAGTGAGTCGCCTCCTCCCTGAACCTTCCATTCTGTTCTTCAGCTGGGCTCTGCCCATGGGGCACCCTATGCTGTAGCCAGCAGGAAAGAAGGAGTAGTTAGTTACTAAACAGTCCTGATGCCATCTCCATGACCAATGTTTGTGCTACGTATTGTGAAGTCTCTGAACAAAGTAGCTAACCAGAACAGAAACCTGGGATAGACTGTTTTGCATAGCAAATCTGGGTCTGTACAAATGTTGCTGAAGAGGGGAAATGGTAGACTGAACTGCACAGGCCAAGATTCAAATGAGTCTTCCTCCAGCTGGCCTCCACGCCTCATCTGGGTCTAAAGTGTCATGGCTTCATCACCAGATTGAGGTAAATCAAAGCCCAGGCTCCTCAAAAAAAGGAATTTCTACTGTGAAGTTACAACTTTTTATCCCAAGCACTGGGGTAGGTAAAAATAAACAGTTAAGGAAAGAGGGGGCCTTGCCTCAAGGCCAGCAGGCACCACACTTGAGCCCCCTACTTTTCCAGTTTCACAAGACAGCCACGCCCCATTGCTATCTAGGGAAACCAATTTAAAAAAAAAAAAGCCCATGCCACCCACTCACATGCCCTAGTGGGAAACCATGAAAAATTCATTTGTGTAAACAGAAGCAGTAGGGAGCAGCAAAATCCCTCAGCCTGTCCACAGGACATGCTAAAATTTGGGGTGAGCCAAAGTGTCAGGACAATCCAGAGGAAGGGAAGATGCACTTGTACAAAAGAGTGCAGGGCAGTGCAGAGGAGGGAATCCGTAGCAAGAAAAAGGTATAATCTGCACAGAAGAAGGATGGAGACTGAGCCCCACCTGGAGGAGATAAACACCCTCTGCTTATCCAGGCCAGAGAACAAGTCAAGTACATAATTCCTTCTGATGGCTCAATGTTTCTCAGTTGTAAACTCATAGAGGAGGGATTTCCAGATTTTGGCAATAGACTCAAGCTATTGTATAAAAATAACATTTAGCTTTTGCTCTTTTTCTTTTAGACTTAAGGAGTTTTGTTAAAAGATATCCCAGTTAAGAAATGGAAACATAAGAGACTTGACCATCAGGGGAAAGATAAGAGTGAGAAAAGCTAGGAAAGGAACTCCAGAACTGGGGAGGCGGAGGAGAAGGAAGGACATGGAAAGGCCGGTGGCCAGTCATCTCAGCAGCTCTGAGACGGGACATGTCTGAAAGTGCAAATGTCAACAGATTTTACCCATCTTGAGGTTGTGATCTTCTTAAAACTCGATGAATGTGAAAATCAAATCCTTCGAATGTAAAATAACTGGCACTCTGGCTGGAGGCCTACTCCGTTAGGGGTATTTATTCCCTATCTACCTCCTCTCCCAGCCCCCCCACCCGCTCCCCACAAAAGAAAGGTACAAAAGGTCGCAGTTCTGCAGCATTACCATTACAGGGAAGGCACTGATTGCCCACCAGCAGGCGGAAGGAAGACAGGGTCGTGTCACTTCAGAGCTAAGTGCCATAGTGCCTTAAGTCTTACTAGGGGCTGGATGTCTGTCAGGGAGGAGGTGTAAGGAAGGATAGAAAAGGTAGAGAAGGAATTAAAGGCTGGGGATGTGGCAGCTGGGGGAGGAGCAACCCAAACCATTATCTTTAAAAATCTTCCTATAAACTGGATTCTCAACCCATTAAAACATCTATTATCCTAAAATATTGATCTGGGTCCGGTTTCGTTTTTCTTCTAAAACAAATCTAGACCTTTTAAGGCTCCTAAAAAAAATCCTTCCCTCCTCCCATCCACTGCGTCAGATCCCTCACGTTCCCATCTAAAGTCTCAAACTCAAACCTACCAGCTTTTGTCCACAGGGCTGCAGAGTCAACCTTACCAAGCTGTCCAAGCTGTCAGGCAGGCATGAGTCTTTAGCACTGTGAGTCACATGAGACACCTGTGTGTGTGGTGGGCACCAGTGCTGCCCCTCTTGGTCCAGTGGGGTCAAGGCCAGATGTGACAAGATGGGGTGAGGGACATGGGGCATGAGGTGGATAACAGAGATTTCTGGCTGGTGGTCTGGCTTACAGGCCCTGTTCCCCATCCTTTAGACCCCTCTCAGAAGGAAACAAGGCCTTCTGCACTCCCCTTAACCCCACCTCCTTCCTCCTCCCTGCTTTCTCTGGATTTGGGCGGCACAGCTCTTGGGGCTTGAAAAGCTTTCTTCTATCCAGTGAGGTAACAGCGTTCTGCCTTCAAGCGAAGTACATGGTGCGCAGAGTATCCTGATGAACCTGCACGGCTTTGGCCAGGGCCTGGGGGTCCCGCCCATTGCTCTGCCCCGATATGTGGCTCCCCTCTCCACTGAAAAGAAAAAAGAAGTCCTTCCTGATGAACTGAGCTAAACCCTTCCCCTATTTGCACACCCTACGGTGTGAATTCCCAAACCAATTTAAACCCCAACCCAGATAGGGGCAGAAGAGCCCAAAGAGCTAATCATTTGCATCGACCCACAGCTCTAAAGCAAAAAAGGGAACCATTCTTATCCCAGGACTCACCTGTCATGCTCCTTGTCCACCAGGTGGTAGCGTGCCCGGAAAGCCACCAGACGGGCATAGTAGGCAGGTGCTGGGATAGAAACGGAGCGTGTGCATCGTACATAAGTGTGGCACAACTGGTATGTCAAGATTTGGAGCTCATCCGCTGTGAAACGGTTGTCATCCCAAAGAACATAGTAATGGGATGGTCGGCTGGTGCCCTGGGAAGACAGGAAAGTGAGGGGCCCCAGGTTGGGCAGTAGGGATGGCCATTAATAGGAAACAGGATCACTATTAAGAGCATAGCTCAGGGTGCTGAGAGATGGCTGAGCACTAAAGCATTAGCCTCATATGTGTAAGGCCCTGGGTTCAATCCCGAGCACCACAAAACAACAATGATACAAAACACAAAAGGGCTGGGGAGATAGCTCAAACAATTGGAAATCATGGTTTGCTTACTGGGGCCCCAAATTCAATCCCCAGCACTGCATGTACATGCTCCCCTGAGCACCACTAGAAGTGATTCTCAAGAGCACTGCTGCATATGCACCCCCTACACCCTGCTGCCAAAAACAAACAAATGAATAAATAAAAATCATTGCTAGAATGGAAGACCTAGCCACCAAGAGGCAGATACAAAATCACCTATGTCAAATAACACATTTCTTAGGTGTTTCTTAGGATACCTACCTAAGATGTTCAAGGCACACTTCTGCTCAAGCATACTATACACTTAATGAGAACCATGATTTATATGCTACTCTGATAACTGGAATTTTCTAAAGGCAGTAGCAATAATCAATTCATCTTTGACCCACTGGAAGGCCTAGGACATAGCCCAACTACCTGGATGCCTGCATGGCTGCAGAGATAGAAGTCAAACTCAAAAGGATGGGTGATGTTGGTGTCCACAGTGGTCCCAGCGGGGATGTTACCACTCTTCCCAATCTGTATAGAGACAAAGACAACCACGATCCCAAGACCTGCCTTATCCCAAACTAGGATCCCAACTCAATTCTACTCTAACCACCAGAATCATGAGTAAAGTAAAGGTTAATGTTCTCAGAGGGTACCTGAGAACGTCAATACTTGGTATTGAAACAAAAGACTTCTAAAGTCACACAAACCCATGTTTAAGTGCCAGCCAGTTTCACTGTTTATTAGTCACGTGATCTTAGCAAGTCATTTACCCTTTCTAGGTTAAATTGAAGATAATAATAGTACCTACCTCACAGGGCTGCTGTGAGGAAGATGCCTTGTAAAATGTCTGGCACAAAGGAGAAGTTCAATAAATGGCAGTTCCCTTTCTCTGGGAACTGGTCTATATTGTGGGGTCTATAGGCCAAGGAGCTGGAGGAAGGAGAGGATTTAAAAGGGAAGGTGGGGAGAACTAAGGAAAGGAGATGGCAGAGGAAGAACCACAAAGAGCTGGGGGAAGAAAGGGGCCAGGGAGGGTGAATTGGCCAAGGACTAAATCCACAGATTTTACCTCTGGGTTTGTAGAAGGGTAGCTTCTACAAAAAGATAAGGGAGATAGGATGAGGATATTGGTAGACTCTTCAATTCCTCACTTACACGCTCATTCTTGTCAGCACAAAAAAGACGGGTATGGTGGCGTTTCTGCACTACAATATACGTGATCCCAGGCTGGTAGTCCTTCTCCAGTTTGATGCAGGCGTCACGAATGGCCAACAGCTCATAGTGGAGAATCTAGGTGTAAGATGTAGAGAGAGATACACAAACAACTTCTTTTGAATTCACACATCTTTCTGAGCTATAGGGTTGTTGTTACTTATAATAAGGCATTTTAAGTTTTGCTCACCTCCCTTCATTAGCTAATCTCCAATAATTAGGAATAAATTCTGTCTGTCTTGTGGAACTTGATATGTTCCTACAAACTTTTGGCTCTCTATATGCATAAAATGATGTAATATTAAGACATAGTATGTAACAGGCCAGGGAAACAGCTCAAAAGATTATGTTTATGCTTTGCACATGAGGCCTAGGTTTGATCCCCAGCATTGAGGCTGGGGATAGGGCTGAAAGTAGCCCCTCAACAACCACTGAGTGTTGTCCTAAAACCAAACACAAACAAATATACAGAATGTTCACCAAGAAAGTCACTAAAATCACAATACCCAAAATAAGGTCAATTTCTTTTCTTTTTTTTGCTTTTTGGGTCACACCCAGTGACGCACATGGGTTACTCCTGGCTCTGCACTCAGGAGTCACCCCTGGCGGTGCTCAGGGGACCATATGGGATGCTGGGAATCAAACCCAGGTTGGGCGCATGCAAGGCAAATGCCCTACCCGCTGTGCTATCTCTTCAGCTCCAAGGTCAATTTCTTGAGCTGGAGAGTTAGTACAGAAATTAAGTGCTTGCTTTGCATGTGGCTGACTCTGGTTTAATTTCCAGCACTGTATATGGGTCCCCTGAGCACTGCCAGGAATGACTCCTGAGCACAGAGTCAGAAGTAAGCTCTGAACACTGCCAGACATTGGCCCCAACACAAAAACCAACAAACAAAAGGTTGATTTTAGAATCAGGAAGATAACAGTTATTCTCCTATAGAACAGACAGAATTGAGAACTCTGGGGAATGACAGAACATAATTCAGGAGTAAGTATTCAGGAAGCAGATAACTTTAGTCTAATAGAGAGGCAGGATTATAAGAGAATGGACTAAACTGGAAAGAGATCAATGGACTAGTATGCATGATTTGTATATGAGACCAAGGTTAGATGCCCAGGTCTGCATGGTCCCCAGAGCACTGATAAGAGTAACCACTGAGCACTCAGCCAGGAGTGCTCACACCTGGGTAACACCAAGTATGGCCTAAAACAACAACCCAAACCCCTCCCCGCTCAAAAGAAATAAAGAAAACCCACAAAGGAAATGGAATAAAGAAGAAGACACAGGTTAATATTCTTCAGTAATAGCTGCTTTGTAGTTTTGGGTGTCAGAGGTACAGCAACATAAGTATATGGTAGAAAGATAAAATTTGGAATTAATTAAAATTAGGTCTAAACTAAATCATTATCTAGTTTTATTGAGCAAGTATTTAACCCTTTTTTCTTTCTTTGGTTTTTGGGATTCTGTAGGGCTTACTCCGGGCTCTGTGCTCAGAGATCACTCTTGGCAGAGCTTGGGGGATCATATATGGTGCTAGGGATTAAGCCCAGGTCAGCCATATGTAAGGTCGAGTCCCCTACCTGTTTTACTATCTTTCCAGCTCCTATTTATGCCCTTTTTAAAGACTCATCTTATCCACATCTACCAACATTATTAATAAGACCAAACAACAAAAAAAGTTGTTGGGAAGACTAAAACAAGTAAAAACATAGAAAACCTAGTAGTGGCTTAGTAACTGCAAATTGCTTTACTAAGCCATTTGGATTTTGACTTGCAGTTATAGGAAGCTATTAGACATTTCTGAACAGAGAAGTGACAAGATAAATTTATCCAGTATTTGAGGAAACACCGGATGACTTAGAGGAAACTGAGCATAATGGGTAAGAATGTGGACTTTGGAATCAGACCAATTTATCTATTTTGTTTTGTTTCTGATTTGTTGTTGTTGCTTTGGGGTCATATCCAGGTGTCCAGAAACAATTCCAAACTCCAGAGTTGGGGGTTACTCCTGGCTGTGCTCAGAATACCATATAGGATGCAGGGCCTCTTGCATGCAAAGAATGTGCTCAAGCCCACCGAGCTCTTTGATGCTCCCCACCCCAAAACCAATTTATCTAAATCCCCCTTTCCCATTATTAGGTTAACAATGAAAAAGAACATACACCATTTTTCCAAGCCTCAATTTCTTTATCTGTCAAGCAATTGTTTTACAAGGCTACTGTGGCATTAATACAATATATCTAAAGCTCTTAGTACAGTTAGTAGCACAAAAGAGGTATCTAATGATAGTCATATTACTATTAAATAATAGTCAAGGAGATGAGTTCATGATACTCATCTCAGTAACAGACTGTAAAGATGAAAAGGAGAAAGACTAGGAGGAGCATTATTTAGAAAGGTCAAGAGTACTCATTCTCGGGGCTAGAGAGATAGCACAGTGGGTAGGGTGTTTGCCTTCCACATGGCCGACCCGGGTTCGATTCCCAGCATCCCATATGGTTCCCTGAGCACCGCCAAGGGTGACTCCTGAGTGCAGAGCCAGGAGTAACCCCTGTGCATCGCCAGGTGTGACCCAAAAAGAAAAAAAAAAGAGTACTCATTCTCAAACTGTGGTCTCCAGAATTACCCAGGAACTTGTCAGAAATGCATATTACAAGATCTCATCCTAGACTTACCAAATTAGAAATTTATTTTAGCTTTTTATAGACCCTGCCTGGCTGCGTTCAAGGCCCACTCCTGGACTTTGTACTCTCCCAGGCTCCCAAAGCACAAGCTCTTAAAAGAATTTCTACTATTTGGGGGCTATAGGACAGGTGGGGCCCACACAGTACTGAGATGTACTCGACCGACCGCTTGTATGTATTCTACCAATTCAGCCATACACCCAGCCTTGCAAAATGTTTTACTAAGCTCTTCAGGTGATCATGAGGTGTGCTAAAAGTTTGAGAATCACTAGTTAATCTTCAGGATTGGGGATGTAGCACAAATGCAGAGCCGCTACCCTCACCTTCACGAAGTTCAGGGTGGCTCTATCCCTGGTAATGTCAAGTGGGGCGGGGGTGGGTGGGGGAGATTTAGGGGGGAGAGTATGTCTGACTTCAGTGTGAACCAACTAGTAAATAAGCGGTGAAAAGACTGCCTCTCAGTTGTGATACTATTCCCAATTCTCCATTTAACAAAACTCACTGAAATAGCACCTCATAAGTAAGGCACACAGCAATACTCTGCTGTCATTAGACCCTCTGTCCTCAAAATGAAGGCGTTCTCCACCTTCTGTGGGCCCTACCTGGGGAAGCTGGCCTTCAGGAACCCCATCTCGGTAGAAGATGATGCGGGTAGGCTTGAAGCGAGTGGACTTGTAGAACTGGATTAGCAACTCACGAACCATGTAGGATAAGTCCTCAATGATCTCCTGCCGTGGTCGCTGAACCCGCACGGTAGCACAGTAACGGCTGGGGTGAGCATCCATACTGCCTACCACCTAACAATCAAAGAGTCAGAATCAGTCCCCACAATCTCCACTTTTCCACTGCCAGGATGTGGATTTGGGGAAAGGCAAAGGAGCAAGAAAATTTCAAAAGAACGAGAAGGGCTTTTCAATTCAGTGAACATTAGATTCAACCATTATACTACCATATTCATCTGACCTTCTTCCTCCACTCAAATGAAGATAAGAAAATCATGTGTGGGGCTAGAGCAATAGCATAGAGGGTAAGGCGTTTGCCTTGCACACGGCCAACCTAGGTTCGATTCCCAGCATCCCATATGGTCCCCCGAGCACCACCAGGAGTGATTCCTGAGTGCAAAGCCAGGAGTAACCCCTGGGCATCGCCGGGTGGGACCCCCCCAAAAAAAGAAGGAGAAGAAGGAAAAAAAAAGAATACCATGTGCTTGTAGTGCTGTGGTGTATATATAATGCACTTTGCATAAGGCCTGGATGACATAGGTATTTGAGAAATTTGATTTCCCTACTCTTTGCAGAGGAATATGCAAAGGTTTAGAACTTCTATGTCACGCAAAGAGTGACCTCATACACTCACAAGGTTGTGTCTTTTTTCCAATATAAATGCTAATCTATCCAGCAATTGTAGTGAAGGGTGATGAGTCATTTTCAAAGGGAATAGTGACCAAAGCCCAAGGAAAACAAGAGATAAACACAATATTAGGTTTCTCTGAATTTACAAGCCGAAACCAGTCTGGGAAAAAAAAAAAAAGGGTAAAGATTGTGGAAAAAGAAGTGAGAAGGAAGTCTCTTGGACAAAGAAAGCAAAAAGTCAGGAAAGGGATTAGAGAGACATCTAATATACTAGGTTGATAAGGAGTGGGGATGGAGAGGATAAAAGGGTGGTACTAGTAATAAGTTAATAACTTTTTAAGGAAAAGATATTGCCATTCCCATACCCTAAAAGTGGGTTGGAGAGAAAGAAACTCAAATAAGCAAGAATAATGGAGACTTGGCCAAGTCTCTGGGCACAGTGTAAATTCTTTTTTTTTTTTTTTCTGTTTTGTTTTTGGGCTCCACCTGGTGGTGCTCAGGGATCCAATCCGGGGCTGCTGCATAAATAGCAAATGCACTTAGCTACTGTACTATTACCCGGGCCCCAGAGTCTAAACTCTTATCCCTCCAGAAAAATAGTTTTATTTTATTTATCTATTTATTTTTGCTTTTAATGTCACACCTGGCGCCGCACAGGGGTTACTCCTGGCTCCGCACTCAGGAATCACTCCTGGCGGTGCTCAGGCGACCACATGGGATGCTGGGAACTGAATCCCGGTTGGCCACGTGCAAGACAAACACCCTACCCATTATGCTATCGCTCCAGTCCCTCCAGACAAATAGTTTTAAAAGACACCATAGGGGCCAGAGACACAGTACAATAGGTAGGGCATTTTTCTTGCATGCAGCTGACCCAGGGTGGATCCCTGATACTACATATGGATATGATCCTCTGATCCTGCCAGGAGTGATCCCTAAACTCAGAGCCATGAGTAAGCTCTGATCACTGCTGGATGTGACCCAAACGCCTCTCCCCAAGGGAAAGATAAAAGACACCACAGAGTTAGATTTATGAAGATCCAAGGGAACAGTTAGTGGGTATTGATCAGTGAAAGGAGATATCATGAAGGGTTAAGAGAACTGAGTGAAGAAACAAAATTGTGTGGTTTTAGGAGTTCAGAGATTAAAAAAAAGAAGAACCTCACAAAGAAGACAAAGTATTGGGATGAAAACATATAGCTCAAAGGGCTGAGCACATGTTTTGCAGGCTGGATGCCTGGGTTCAACCCTTGGCAAGGCATGATTCCCTGAGCACCACCAGAAGAGGCAACTAAGCACCCTGCAGTTGAGGCCCAAATCTCCTCTGCCACACCCTGCAGAAAATAAGATGGAAATACCACTCACTGCTGTGATAGAAGGTTTTTTCCCATCTCCTGCTGGCGGGTGTGTAACATCTGCTCCCAGGAATATCACCGGCTGTTGAAAGACGGCAGAGCTGAACAAGGAAGAGAAAATAAATGGTGATGGGTTAGATCTTCTATTCATAGTACCATTTAGGACCCACTCTGAGCCTCTTCCTCAGTGTCTGATTCACTTTGCCTGGCTATGGTCTATCTTTTAATCAATCCCCCAAATTATATCTTTTCCTTTGGTTTTTGAGCCATACCTAGCAGTGCTTAGGGGTTAGCTCCAGCTCTGGGCTTGAGGATCACTCGGCAGTGCTCAGGGCACCATGAGGGGCCAGGGATCAAATCCCAGTCTCTTCCTACAAAGCATATGCTCAGCACCTTTAAGCGATCTCTCTGGCCCCCACCATTGTACCTTGCCTTAAATAGTAAGTAGGTAACAGAACTCATACCGCTGGTGTGGGACTAGGATGTTGTTAATGCCACCAAGTTTGACATTGATCTTGAGGCAGAGATTGGACAGAGTCTGAGGTGAGGTCTTGACCACATTCTTCACTTGTACACACTGCGTAGCCATTCCCAAGAGCGTATCTCCAACACGTTTCACCTCAGCTGTGAGCAGGGAGACAACTAATCAGTGAATTCAACAGATATGTATAATGAATGCCTATAGACTGTCAAGAATGAGGTTCTAGGGGAAAACAATGATGAGTAGAAACCCAGGGTCCTTACTCTTATATCAACTACTAATTTGTCACTAATAATTATTTGCTAAAAGTCATTCTTACAGTAACAAGTTTTAAAAATCACGAAAATTCCAATAATGATACATGCTACCACCAAAAACTTCATGGAAATTTGAGAACATTTAATAGGGGATAATTACATAGCCAAGCAAGAATTGAGTTAAGTAATGATTGAACATAAATTTAATGTAGAAAAGAATCTAGAACAAAGGGAGAGTTTGGCAGAGGGCATTTCAGGCAGAGGGAACAATATGCAAAATGCACAAATAAGAGATAGCAACTGTTTTTTGAGAAACTGAAGGGTATAGAAAAAAGAAGAGTAAAGAACACTTATGTGAGAGAATGTGGCATCAGACTTACCTAGGAAATAAATGGTGGTTGCTTATATTACAAGACAATTGTTAAGATGAAAAAAAAAGTAATAGATATTTAAAAGACTCGGAGATTATATATGTAAGTAAGCAAAAAAAAAAAGTTTTATGAATAACTCCTGGATTTCTATCTTTAGTAACAGGATAGATCATACATTCTTTTCAATTATTTTGAGCTTATTTTTTGATTACCGAGCGAAGACATCAACTAAGCATCAGAGAGTAGTTCACTGGAAGCTCAAGGGAAGTCTAATCAATAAGCAAATCTGTGAGATATTTAGGTACCTAATGGAAAGCATTATCTTGTTGAGATCACCAAGGAGAACACAGTGAAAAAAGAAAACCGAGACATGAATTTTAAGCAACTCCCAAAATTTACAGGATGCGTCTATTGAGAAAAATTAAGAACTAAAAGAAAGATCATGACACTGTTACAACATTAGTAAGGAAAGAGATTTATTTCAAGAAGCAGAAGTGGTCAAAGGCTCCTGAGATATCTGGTTGAGAACCAGAAAATATCCTTCGGATTTAGGAATAATGAGGGGAAAAATTAATCTATAGAGGCAAAAACTGCCTTGGTGAGATAAAAATACTAAGAGATATAAGACTAATAAAGCATTTTATGTTTTCAATGGGAAAGACTTGAACACGTTAAAAGAAAAAAGCTAAGGGAAAGTGGGTAGGACACTTGCCTTGCGTGCAGCTGACATAGGCTCTATCCCTGGCACCCCAAGTCCTGCTCACAAGTGATTCCTGAGTGCAGAGCCAGAAGTTAGCCCTGAGCATTGCTGAGTATGGGCCCGAAAACAGAACGAAAACTCAAGAGGGAAAAATCTCAGAGCCAAGTTATTTTCCGCTTTTATCCTGGATACATTTACTAATGTCGTTTCTGTACCTGCACTCTCAGAACACAATGAAAACAGGGTTTCTGAGAATTCATTTAGTTCTAAATGAAAAAGTTAAATAATTTAAAAGAAAACATGTTAGTCTAGTTATGACCTTGGAATTTTTTAAATGACACAAAATACAATTCATACAGAAAAATATTAATAAGCCAGAGTACATAAAAACTTAAATTTCTGTTTAACACAAGACAATACTAAAAAGTGAAAAGCAGGAGCTGGAGAGATAGGTAGGGCACTTGCCGTGCACATTACCAGCCTGGGTTCGATCTCCAGCATCCCATATGGTACCCCAGGCATCACCAGTGGTAATTTCTGTGTGCAGAGCCAGGAGTAACCTCTGAGTATATCGCTGGGTATGGTCCAAACTCCACACCCCACCAAAAAATGTATATTACATACCTATATAGATAGAACAAATACAAGATTTTTCAGGACAAGGCCGTTCAAGCTTTAGAGGTCAAAATAAATGGTTATTATTGATGAGAAATTATAGTAACTTGGTTGTGGTACCGTTCTGCTACCAAAATTGAGTTCTGATTATACTGCAGTCTCACTTTGAGAAAAATCAAGTGAACCAAATATCTAAGATTTCTGTAAGTATATTATATTGCAATTTAAAAAAAAGTACAAGTATACTTTAAAAAAAGACAACAGTATCATTTGTGGATAATTAGCTAAATATACAAAAGATAGGATAAGATATGATATACTAACTAAAATTCTAGGGCTGAAGAGATACTAGAGTGGGTAGGGTACTTGCTTTGCATGCAGCTGACCAAGGTTAGATTCCCGACATCATATCGTCCCCAGAGCCCTACCAGGAGTAATTCCTGAGCACAGAACCAGGAATAACCCAAGCACACCAGATACAGGTCCAAAACAAACCAAAAAATTAGGTAAATTTGACTGTCTACACTTTCAGAGGAACTACAATGGCAAATGGACTTTGCTTTTGACCATCAAAGAAAATTTCATTACCTTAGCCTTCCAGGGTGAAAGTTCTTTAGAAAAAGCTGGCTGATCCTCTTTTTTGAGGGCGTGTCACAGGGGCCACGCGTGGTAGAGCTCAGGGTTACTCCTAGATCTGAGCTCAGGGATCAGGGCTCAGGGGACCACACAGGGTGCCAGAGATAAAAATCTTGATTGGCCACATGCAAGAAAAGCACCATAACCATTATACTATCATTCTAGCCCTGATCCTCTTTTATTACTTTTGATATTGTTTTTGTTTTTTTGGGGGGGGCTCGAGGTAAAGGTAAAGGTAAAGGCCCTCCCATTGATCGTCGATTTGCTCGAGCGGGCCCAGTAACGTCTCCATTGGAGACTTTGTTGTTACTGTGTTTGGCATATCGAATACTCTCGGTAGCTTGCCGGGCTCTCTGAGAGGGGCGGAGGAATCGAACTCGGGTCGGCCGCTTGTAAGGCGAACACCCTACCACTGTGCTATCGCTCCAGCCCAGCCTGGTAATACAGGCTACTTCCAGTTGGATGTTTGGGGGCTCACTTCTCGCTGTGCCTTGGGGACCATATGGTCTGATGGATGGAACCTGACCTGCTACATGAAAAGCATGTGCTCCAGCACTGATTCTTTTGCAATGTTTTGAAGCCAAAACATTGGATTCGTCCTTTAATTGAAGGAACCAAAAATATAAAATCATTCAAGACAGTGTTCCTAAAACAGATCCTTATTTTACATCCAAGGTCATCAATCTGTTTAAGTTTAAGGACCACTGACTGGAAAACCTACTTCCCTCTGAAAGGAATTACTGAGTATCAACTCTCAGTTCAAGGCTCTACCCATAGGCATAGATGTGTGGAGGAAAGGTTTCAGAGAATTATATTCCATGTTCAAAATAATAAGGCAGTACTTGACTGTCTCCTGAAAATAATTTCTGCAGAAATACAGAGACAAGTTGATCCTTCAGAAGGGATACAAGAGGAGCTTCAAGAAATAAATACATTCAAACTAGGACCTGAACAATGGAGAATTTTTAAGGACAAGTTGCATGATAAGATGAGTCATTAGATATTCTAAGCCAAGGCAAATGATGTGAACAAAAACTAGAGATTGGAAAACACAGAGAAGGAATAAGCAGAGAATCTACTATTTACCACACACTGTTGGAAACTGCTTTTAATATAACCAACTCATGAAACTCAGAAAAGCAAGACAATCTGCTAAAACCAGTATACCAGCATAGCTAAAATTAAAATTCAGTGCTATCTTAACTTCAAAACAAAAGATGTTTCTATAGTATATCTGGTATAAGAAAAAGTTGAAAAACAGGGAATAAAGCATTAGTACAGTGGGCAGAGTACTTGCTTTGCCTGCGGCTGAACAGATTTGATCTTTGACATCCCATATGGTCCCCCCAAGCCTGAAAGGAGTGGTCTCTGAGTGCAGAGACAGGAGAAAGACCTAAATACCACTGACTCTGTGTGTGTGTGTGTGTATGTGTGTGTGTGTGTGTGTGTGTGTGTGTGTGTGTGTGTTGGGGGGGGGGCATGAATGAAGACACAATAAGAAATGTTAGCAGGCCTGAATTTGATCCCTGGCATTGCATGGAATCCAAGCACACCAAGAATGGCCTTGGTGGCCTTTGAGCACCTGCTTCAACAGGTATGGCCCTCACAGCAATAGTGATCAAAAAAAAAAGTGTTAAGTAGGTTGAGTGTTGAGGATGTGGCTCAAGTGACAGAATACACAAGCCTTGCATGTGAGTTTCTGGGTTTGATCACTATCACTGCATAGTCCCTGAAACATAGTCATTTATGGTCCCCACAACTGAAAAAAAAAAAAAAAACGAAGACGAAAGTGTGGATGGTGAATAGGAACTCGACCTTAAACTAAGAAAAAACAAATAGTGGAGAGGAAGCAGGAGAAGACAAACTGCCTCCAAAGTCTGATAATGTCTGAAAGAAGGCACCCAGAAGTGATTATACAGAAGAAAGAATATAAAAACAGAAAAGTTGGGGCTGGGGAGATAGTACAGTGGCAAAGGTGCTCGCCTTGTACGCAGTCAACCCAGGTTCAATCTCCAACTCTAATATGGTCCTCCAAGCCCTGCCAGGAGCGACCCTGAAAGCAGAAACAGGAGTGAGCCCTGAGTACAGCCAGGTGCGGGCCAACTTTTTGTTTGTTTATTTTGGGACCACTCCTGGCAGTGCTCAGAGATTACTCCTGACTCTGCAATCAAGGATCACTCCTAGAGTGCTCAGGGAACCATATGGAATGCTGAAAATCAAACCCAGTTTGGCTACATGCAACCCATTGTACTATGGCTCCAGACCCCAATTAAAAAAAAAAAACATAAGAGTTTACTGATGAGAAGATGACAAGCTATTAAAGAGATGGCATACCAAAATAAGGGCAGTGACTACATCTGTTTCACTTATGAGAAGTATTCAGGATCTAGCACTAAATATCCAAGGTCAGAATTACCTCGGATTAGAAAACCACAGTGTTTCACATACAGCAGTTGATCAATAGACTCTCACAGGAGTAAAGAATAGTAAGAAGGTCAAACGAGCTGTGAAACTTTGTAGCTGAGTCAAAAACATCACGACGATAGGTGATAACTGGATCACCTGAAATAAATGAGAATTTTTCTAGTATGCAAAGACAAGAAGAAAGTGCAGAATATAGAAAAGAGATGTTCCTGGTAATGACAAAAATAAACTAAGAGGGGCTAGAGGAATAGTACAGCTGACCCAGGTGTGATGCCTGGCACTGCATGTGGTCCCCCAGCACTACCTTGAGTAATACCTGGGGGTCAAGTCAAGGGTAAGCTCTGAGCACACCTGCGAGACCCCCAAACCACCGCACCCTCAAATAAAGTGAGATTTAAAAAAAAATCAAGAAGTTAAAGGGAAAGGAGAACAAAGAAAAGCCACTGGTTACCCACTATAGAGAAGGTTTAAGATCAAAGTAGAGGGGAAATAGATGAAACAATTGAAGGAATGGCTAGCAAGGGAGTAAAATGTAAAGATTCAAAATATTTGATAAAGGATGAATGATGTGGCTCAATGGCAAACTGCATGCATGCATGTATGAGACCTGGGTTCAATTCTCAGCACTACTAAACATCTTTTTTTTTCTTTTTAAGGAAAACAAAAAAGTTAAATGAGATGGCATGATTGAGGTGCTATGCTCTAAAGATGTTTACAGTTGAAGGGTATGAAATTGCAGAGGTAGCAGGATGGATAGGGATCAAGAGCATACATTATTTAAGTAAGGTAAAAGAAATCTCTTAAAAACAGGAAGGAGGGGGGTTGGAGTGATAGCACAGAAGGTAGGCTATTTGCCTTGCACGTGGCTGACCCGGGTTCGATTCTCAGCATCCCATATGGTCCCCTGAGCACTGTCAGGAGTGTTTCCTGAGTGCAAAGCCAGGAGTAATCCCTGAGCATCGCCAGGTGTGACCCAAAAAGAAAAAAAAAAACAGGAAAAGAAGGAGGGCCGTAGAAACAGTATAAAGGTTCTCTCTGTATGCAGCAAACCCAGGTTCAAATACTCAGCACTAGGTAGTCCCTCCTTAACACTAGCAGGGGTTATTCCTGAGCATACAGCCAGGAATATCACCTAGCACTCCTGGATATGGGCCCTGACAATCCCCATGTGCCCTCCAACAAAAAAGTATGAAGGGAGAGAGGGAAATCAGTAAGAGTCAGGGTCAGGGTCAAGGTCAGAGTCAGGGTCGGGGTCAGGGTCAGGGTCCCGGCTCTGAGACAGATGGGCATATTACCATTCCTAAAGAGAGAGGAAAAGAGATAGAGAGAAAGACAACTTCTTAAAAAGTCCTGATCATCACTGTATAATTGAAACCCAAGCACAAAAATTTGCAAGTCCACAACTGTACCTCATGATGTCTCACTAATAAAAACTTAAAAAAAAAAAAGTCCTAATCATTCCCAGGCAATTGAATACTAATAGAAACAACCCAAATTTTGTAGGTTTACTACATAATGTCTTGATAGATGATGTACTCTGAAGAGTAAGATTCTGGACAGACCCATCTTTGCATCTGGCAGGGCATACCATGGCATACCAGTACGCAGAAGATCCCAGTAAATATTGTTGGAAGGGAACTTCCAGCTCATACAGATGTTCATAAAGGCACATTATTTTCCAGAAGGTGGAGCACTGACATTAAGAGGCAGCTCTGGCTGCAGCCAAGTGTCTTATAGGGTCAGGGTCCCGGCTCTGAGACAGATGGGCATATTACCCTATTAGCTGACCTGATAGGGAACTTCCCTGAGAAGAGACCTAACATTATTACTGTCCCCAGAGAACTGTACCATACACTGGTGTCTTCCCTGGAAGGATGACGATAATGAGCTGCAACCCTGAGTAGGTATTCTTGAGATGCCGGAACATGGGCTCCACGCTATCTGCTCCTTGTGCGTATTTGCAGAAGCAAGGCTGGCCCTGGATAGGCATGCCTGCATCCTTGGAAATCTTCCGAAGCTGGTCCGTGAAGTTCCTGCAGCACACATATAGACATGACAAAAGGCAATAAAATCTACTTTAATACCTCTGATCAAATACCTCCATCTTAAGTACCTAGAACAATGACAGACACTGAGCTTCTAAGACGACTGAGAAATGATCACAGCAAGTACAAAAAAGTACCGGTATCACTGAATAAGATAAGAAATTTTGCTAAGCATTTCAGGGTCAGAGAGCTGATGGAGGCTAAAGAAGGGACCTGGTACAGATGCCCAAGAAGAAGGCCTCTTCACTCATATTAAATAAGGTTCTAATACTGATACAAGCATAGGAGATTTTCATTGAAAATAAGCTCCCTCCTCTCACTGGTCTTTTGAAATCTGAGAGTGAACAATTAAAGGAGCTTTCTTCCTGTGACTTTAGAGATTTATCCTGGGAAAGAGAAACACAGTTGGAAGAGAGGATACACATGCAGTAAAAAATTGAAAAACCTCAAGCTGTGTAAATATAATGAGCAGCTGGAAATTTAATTTGTGAAACGCCTACATTTAGATTAAAAGCAATAATGTACTAGAGAAAATGCAAGCACTTACTAAAGGGATATTACTATATAGCATATAAATCTCAATACAATAGATTTAAAATTTCATGTAATGGGAAGAACATTTTTCCACGTACATACAAAAATATAAGGAAGATAAATAAGGTATGACACTATTATGTAAATTTTAAAACCATGCATAGATTAGAAAGTATATAAACTGCCTAGAAAAGTTATAATTCACATTAGGGGATGCATGAGAAAAAAAGGAAATGGGACTCGAAAAGAGTACAAAAAGAACATCAGATTTATCTCCAATATTTACTTTAAATGAAATAAATATAACAAAACAAGACAACCTAATCATTATTTCATGTAAATAAAAGCCAAAGGTATGAAGGATTACAAACAGTGTTGTCCTATTCATCTGCCTTGTAAACAAACACCTGCTAAATAATGTACTACTAAATTACATTAATAGTGGATTTTTACTTCAAAGGGATATTTCCAATCTTCTCTCAACTTCCAGATCACATTTGGGATACTGTCTCTACAGATGTGAGTTACAAGATGCTGAGAAGAATCTAAGATAAGAAGAGTCTTGAAGTTCTGTCCTAAATATGCAATAGCTAGAACAAGGCCTCTTTGGTCAGATGAAAACAAACCAAAAAAATTTGAAAAAGAACCCTGAAAGTTGATCCTAGGAATTTCTTATCCCTTCCCAATCATCAATTTCTTCAACTCCACAGCGACATATATCTGCCCTCGCTGTCTCAGTGGAAATATGCCTTTGCCTGGGTTCTGGATCCCATCTCCTCAGATACATTTGGGAAGATACAGTTAGTGCTCTGAGTTCCAGTCTCAGTTTCTGTTACAATTTCTCTGAGTTCCAACTTCAGCTTCTGTTCACAATGCACTTACTCTACCTGGACAATCTTATCCATCACCAAAACTACAAGTTTTTCTCTTTAGCTCAGAATGACACAGTCAACTGGGTACCCCAGACCCTGGCACACAAGTCACACAACTTATCCCCTGTAATCTAGGGATCACTGCAGAATGAAATGTCTGGTGAACTTGCTTCTTCCAATTGAGATTTTAAGTTTATCAGTTTCTTTTCCCCCAAATATCCAAAACAACTGATTGTTTTTCATAAGTATTGGACAAGAAAAGCAGGCAGGAATGAAAGAGAGGCACAAATACAATGAACAACCAATGAGGTGACACAGGACAGCAAGTTAGGAACATCTCCCATAAAGTCAAGCGTTAGCCCTTCAATAGAAGGCCCAGGCTAGTAGTGGGCCTTCTTAGCTAAAAATCCTAAGAACCCTATAAAGGGGATAAAAGGAACTCACTTACTATGTTACTCATATGTGGTATTTAAACAAAAAAAAAGAGATTGAATAAAGAAAACAAACCTCAGAGGCATAAAGAAATAGTACATCAGGTATGGCACTTGCCTTGCACACTACTGACCCGGGTTCAATCCCCTGAATCCTATGTGGTCCCCCAAGCACCACTCAGAAGTAATTACTGAGTACAGAGCCAGGAGTAACTTCCAAGCATCGCCGGGTATAGCCACCTCGCCCAAAATAAAGAAAACAAACCTCAGAATTGAGGTTACCAATGGGGAGCAGGGGACAGACTAAAAGTGACCTAATTAGGCACTTGCTGATGGAGGTGCAGTAACTTTACACACCAAAAGTATAAACATTAGGACTATTGTAAGCTGGGGCTGGAGCAACAGTATAGCAGGTAGGGCATTTACCTTGCACGCCACCGACCTGGGTTTGATTCCCACCATCCCATATGGTCCCCTGAGCACCACCAGGAATAATTCCTGAGTGCAAAGCCAGGAGTAACCCCTGTGCATTGTGGGTGTGACCAAAAAAAAAAAAAAAGACTATTGTAAGCCATGTAATTGTTTTTTTGATAGAAAGACAGACAGACATTTAAGAGAAACTGCAAATGTGATGGTGGTAGTTGTATATCTGTGCAGGAAGATGAAAAAAGAGAGAATGCACCCTCAGGAGTAGTTATCACTTGCTAAGGTATACCTCTTTATTATCTCAAAAGTTATCAAAAGTGGTCAGTTCCATCAATTGGTTCTTACACCCATGGTGCACTAACCTCAATTAAGATTCAAAGAATAAAGTCATACTTCAAAAGAATGCCAAAATGAAGAAAATACATTTTAAATGAGCTAATTTTTCAGTATCTGAAATATCTCCCAATGAAGAGTATAAAGGAAAATAAAATAAAATAAAAAATAAAGAGTATAAGGGAAATAAAGGGGCAGGGTCACTTACTCCTTTACTCAAGACCTTGATTCCCCTATTTGCCTGTCCCTCCAAGCCCCAAGGGAGGTCTCCCAAGTGGTGCTTAGGAGAGCAGGTAGGAGCAGGCCTCTAGTGGTTCAGCATGAAGTTTCTATGGTGGGCACTGCTCAGCCCTACAGTGCTGGGGATTACCCAGGCCATCCTGGCAGTGTTCAGGGACACCATGGCTCCAGAAATCAAACAGGGGTCAGCGCAGGAAGGCCTTAATCCCTGTGCTACCTCTCTAGCTCCTGCGTTCCTTTAAATCATTTAGCTACATCACTTTCTTCAGAGAAAGCGCTGTGACATCTACTCCCAGTCCCTCAACCACAAATACAGCAGAAGTCTTACCGTTCATATTCACCAGAATTCAATTCTGATTTCTTGAACCTGACAGTAAAGGTTCTGTGAATAGGGGCCACAGTGATATTACAGTGGGTAGGCATTTGCCTTGCACACAGCCAACCTGGGTTTGATCCTTAGTACACCATATGGTCCCCCAAGGCCACCAAGAGTGATCCATGAGCATATGGCCAGGAGTAAGCCCTGAGCATCAAGGAGGGTGAACCCAAAACAAAAACAAAAAAATTCTGTGTACAGAAAGAACAATTCAGGAGAGTTGAACAGTTAACTCCTTTTTGTTCCCAAATAGGAAAATAAAACTTTTGAAGTCTGAGACCTAATTTGATCATCTCTGATACTTTGGTACTTGATATGCAAACCATATACAAGTTGTCTCTGAGTCTGAGTCTCCTAAAAATGGAATAGCACCAGCTAACTATGAAGATGAAATGAAGGAACACAAAATTAGGTACAAGAGTTCATAAACATTAGTCATCACTACAACTTATAATACTATCAAATAAAATAACAATAATAATAAGGTCTCTCTTAGAAGATCCACACCCTGAAAACATCATCTCTACCAAACACAAGGTTCTATTTATTAAAATTTCTGACCACAAATGGCAGGAAGAGAAACAGGCAGATACAGCTCAAGTTAGAGAGCAGAAGAGCAGAAAGGGAGGTAAAGAGAGAGGGTCAGAAAGAAGAGACAACAAATCAAACCCGACCCCTTAGTGGGAGGGAAAGGTACACGGCTCTAGGGTCCTTCCCACCCTTCCACCCATATAAACAACCCTCCTTACTTGAGCACCTCTTCTCGACACTGCTTTTGGGGTGCGAAGCAGGCGATGGCCCAGACTTTGATCTCAATCCCATTGTAGAACTGTTTCCCCCGCATGTCCCAGACTCCCTGATTGGGTGTAGCAATGGCCCGGTTCTGGGGATAGGCAGAGGGGGCGCCCAGGTGAGCCTCAATAGAGCCAGGTGAGCAGGGGAACAAAAGCCCCTGGCTATCCAACCCAACCTCCCACCAAAGGCCCCAGATATGTTGTCTGGCCCTGACCCTGCTCACCCGGCCGCCGTACTGCAAGATGGGCGCCGGCAGCACTCGCCCTGTCACCTCCGTCATGTCATCTTTCACTTTGATCCCAAACTCCTGGATGTAGGGATCCAGGTTGTAGCTGGCGTTCTTCATCTGCAAAACAGAAGAAGGGGATCTCAGAAGAGCAGCAACCTGAAAATACTGTTAATTCACCCAAGGAGAAAGCCTCAAAGAACAACTGGGGCTGCTAGCGACGGCAACAAAAAGAGGATTGGGAAAAGGGGGGATGAGGTAAATGGGAATAGATAATCCAGGGAAGTAATTCGGGGGGAGGGGATAGGAAGTAAAGCAAGCTAAAGGGACAAGAGGCAAAAACAGTATTTTGGAGTCCTGGAAACAAATCCAGACTTATGTCCTCATAAGGATACTGCCAGGGCAGAAAAATATCTGCGCTACCAGAGGCCCCAATAACAAGCATCCAATTAATATTTTCCTGTGGCCCCACTGACCAGGCGGCTGATTTCCTCTTGTCTGTCTGGGGCCGACCTAGCCGTAGCCTTTATCATGGTCGATGTCTGGTTATCTGTCAGCTTCTTAATGCAGCGCTGCCCAGCCACAATGTTACAGACCTGGGGAAATAAGAAAAAGAAACTCTGGACTGAGTACTGCCCACCTGTTGTCAGGCTCCCACAGTAAAGAGACCCTGGCTGTCAAACCTGAGAGAGGAAGTGCAAAACTCCTGTGTATTGTCAAGTTAGTTGGGAAATTTGCCTGTGAGATACAAAAGGCATTACAGTGATTCTATGATTAAGATTCTGGGACCCAGAGGCAGAGATGAGTTTAGGTCTCATATGTTGAGGAAATTCCCTAAACAGTCTCATAGCGTTGTTTGGAGGTTAAATAAAGCACTTGAGGGACTGGAGAGGTAGGATAGTGGGTAAGGTGCTCGCTCTGCACACAACCACCTCAGGTTCAATCCCCGGCACCTCAAATGCTCTCCTAAGTTATGCTATGAGTGATCCCTGAACACAGAGCCAGGAGAAAACTCTGACTACAGCCAGGTGTGCCCCAAAAACAAACAAATTAAAAATTACCAAAAAAAAAAAGAGTACTTGAATTAGGTACAGTTTGAGTCAAATTGTAGCATAACTTATCATTTACCACAGGAAATAGTATAGAGCCGTTCTGAACACTAGGTAACTTATTATGCACAAACTACATTCCAAAGGTAGTAGACAGCTCTCCAATAGTGGCCTCTTCATCCTGTAACCAAACAGGACTTGGGATGGATTTTCAATTCTTGAGCCTCAGTCTAAAGGTGATCACTGGCCCCTGAATTATAGAAACCTGTCTATTAGGCAGAGTGCCCTCTAGGTGTGATTAAGCAGCCTACCTTGAACAAAATGGAAATCAGAAAAGTTTTGATACATAAGATCTCACGAGATATTCCCTGCTGAATAAGAAACATTCTGACAGAGTAGAGAGCTAGTATACTTGGAAGTTTTAAATTTGAAGCCCAGCGTTGCCATTTTTAGACGGCACCTTACCCACTATCCTACCTCTCCCGTCCCTCAAGTGCTTTATTTAACCTCCAAACAAACCTATGAGATTGTTTCCGGTTCCTCTACTTAACATATGAGACCTAAACAGAGCATTATCCACTTGAGACTGCTCCTTTAACTTCATTTTGCTTTTTTGTTTGTTTACTTTTGTTTGTTTTGAGCCAACTAAGCAGTGCTCAGGGGAATCATATAGGGTTCCAGGAATCAAACCCAGGCCAGTCACATGCTAGGCAAGCACCTTACCCGCTATACTATCTCTCCGGCCCCAGAGAGCTTCTTTAATTTCAATCACAGGAAAAAGTCTAGCTATCTCCTGAGGTTGCTGTGAGAATTAAGACAAAATAAAAAGTGCACCTAGTTCCCACAGTGACAACAATTTTTTAAATGGCATAGTTTTATTACTTTTTTAAATTGAATCACTGTGAGATATTGTTACAAAGCTTTCATGCTCGAGTTTCAGTCATACAATGATCAAACTCCCATCCCGCCACCAGTGCACATTTTCCATTACCAATGTGCCCAGTAACTCCCCGCCCACCCCAACCCTCCTACTGCCTCTATGGCAGACAATTTCCCCCATACTCTCTCTCAACTTTGGGGCATTATGGTTTGCAATATAGATACTGAGAGGATATCACCTTTGTTCCTTTATCTACTTCCAGCACACATCTCCCATCCCGAATGATCTCTCCAACCATCATTAACTTAGGGATCCCTTTTCTATTCCAGCTGCCTTCTCCCCCACTTCATGAGCAATATTCCTGGCCCTTGTCTCTACTGAATGACAACAACTTAAGTACGGATCCCGTTCCCTAATTTCCAGAGTACATGCTGAACAATGGGTGGAAAAAACAAAACTCTGTCCATTAATTACAAAAATCACAAATCAGTTGATTCACTTAATCAAAGCCTGGAATTATTAATATTTGAAATGTTGCTCCCTTAAGGTACCTTAAATTTGCAGCACTTGCTACAGAATCAATATGAGAAACATACAGAATGTTCAAGATGTGAAGAAATCAACATGTTCATACACTGCTGGTAGAAATGTAAAATGATTTAGCTACATTACTAAAGATATGAAGTATGGAGATTTCTCAAAATGTTACATAATTTCCACATGATCCAGTAATTCTATTTCTGGTTATATATCCAAAAGAACCAAAATTGGTATCTAAATAAATTACAAAAGCTGGAGAGTACAGCAGGTAGGGTGGTTGCCTTGCACCCAGTTGACCTGGGTTCGATCCCTGGCATCCCATATGTACCCCGAGCACCGCCAGGAGTGATTCCTGAATGCAGAGTAAGGAATAAACTCTAAACAACACCAAGCATGGACCAAAAAAACAAATAATAATTATAATAATAAAATTATTTGTATACCTGTATTTATTGAGTATTATTTACAATAGTTAAAAGATGGAAGCAGGGGCCAGAAAAATAGTATAGCATTCAGGATGCCTGCCTTACACACAGCTCATCTGGATTCCATCCCTGGTACCACATCTGGAACCTTGAGCTCCACCAGGTGTCATCTCTGAACGCAGAGCCTGGGGTTAGTATGCCCTGAGCACTGTTGGGTGTGACCCAAAAACAAAACAAAACAAAAAAAAGGCAGAAGAGCTACCGTACATCAGTAAATTAAGGGGCAAATAAAATGTGGTATATACAAAGAACTGTCAGTCTTAATGGAAGAAAATTTAAAACATAAAGGATGGAGGTGATTCTGATATGCTGCAACATACATGAATCTTGAAACGCTATGCTACGTGAAATATGCCAATCAAAAATAGATCATATAAAATAAAAGGTCATATGTAGCCCATTTATATGATATATCCAGAATATACAAAACCAACAGAGACAGACGTAAGTCATTAATTACTAAGAGTGGTAAGGGGAAGAATGAACGGTGAGGAATTGCTAACGGGTTGAACTTCCTTTTGTGGGTGATGCAGGAGGCGTGGGTTTGACCTCAGCACCACAAGGTCCCCCAAGCAATCCATGAGCACAGAACCAAGAACAGTCTCTGAGCACTGCTGGGTGTGGCCCCAAACCAAAATCATCTCCATCTACTACCCTCTTCCCAGCCCTTCCCCACATACTTCATGCTAACCATTATGGTCTTCTGTCCTCCCAAAAGATTCAAGTTCCCCAAGGAACTTGAATGCTGAGTGAAGAAGTCAGAAGGAGAGGAACAGAGCATCTCTGGATGAGGCCCAAAACAAAAACCAACAACAAAGCATGAGTTCCAATCCTTGAGCTAACTCCCTGAACCTATTGCCTGAGCTTTGAGATTTGCTATTAACTCCTTCCTTCAGATGATTACAGATTGGGTCTACCTCATAATTTAGGACTCGACTCAACTCAACTGTTTCCTAAAACAGGCTTACCTTGACCACAGTAACTAAACACCCTCCACCCTTACTTCTATTCCCTTAATCTGTTTTATTATTCTTGAAACACCACCATTGATACTAACTTATTATCATATATAGTCTGTCTCCCCCTTTTAGAATGTGAGTTTCATGATTGTAATGGACCATCTATCTTGTTAAACTCTATTTCTGGCACATTAAAAAAAAAAAAAAGATAAGCCAAAGCTGGAGAAATAGTAAAGTGGGTGGCACACTTGGCCTTGCATGAGGCCAACCCAAGTTTAATTTATGGTACCCTGCATGGCCCTCCAAGCCCACCAGGGATCCTTGAGTGTAGAGCCAGGAGTAAACCCTAAACATGATGGGTGTGGCCAAAAAGTAAAAAAGAAGGGGCTGGTAGCACAGCGGGTAGGGTATTTGCCTTGCACGGGGCCAACCCGGGTTCGTTTCCCAGCATCCCATATGGTCCCCCGAGCACCACCAGGAGTAATTCCTGAGTGCATGAGCCAGGAGTAACCTATGTGTGTCGCTGGGTGTTACCCAAAAAAAGGGAAAAGAAAAGAGAAGATATGACACAATAACAAGAACTCAATAAACATTTGTTAAACAACAGTAAAAATGAAGATAAAAATCATTATATAAATTATTCATCTTACTACTGTATAAACAGAAGGAACATTACCTAACAAACCTCAGTTTATAGCAGTTACTACCTAAAACCTATCTACTCACCTGAGATTGCCTAAGGAATTCTGTTTATACCTCAGAGAACATAATGTTTTCATTCCACTTTCTGGGCATCATCAGTCATTAATTTAGAGTTCTTAAGTTTGGTAACTTCTCTTCTTTCAGTCTAATGCCCTCTAGTTGTTCTGAATTCCAAATGCTAACCAATGGCTTGGGTTTTAATCCCAGGTATCCTGACTCCTGTTGCTAAAATAAAGTACCGGGAAGTATAGGCTAGGTAAGTAATTCTCCAACTTCATTGTTCCTGAGTTCCTCTGGATTCTACTAATGTGGGTAGAACTTGGGATTCTGCATTTCAAGCGACACTTTGTTAATGCTTGTTGTACAGTACCAGGTGTACTGACTAAATTCTGAGCAGCACTGATCTGGACAAGTAAGTAGGCAGTAGGAGTTTCTATTTGGACATTTTGGCTAATGTATAACAAACCCTGTAACCTAATGTTCTTCAGTCATATTTTATAATTTAAATAGTATAGTATTCTTTCTTCAATTATAGGAGTTAAAAGGTATGCTTTTAGGATAAAATATAACAAATCCTGGGGCTAAAACTTTTTTTAAAGAAAAATATCTGTTTCCTGTAAAACAAGGTATTCCAATAGCTCTATGTCATTTACTATCATTAGTTTCAGGCAGCAGACAAAATTAAGAGGACATTGAGGGGCTGGAGCAACAGTACAGTGGTCAGGATGTTTTTCCTACATGTGGCCAACCCAGGTTCAATCCCTGGCATCCCATGTGGTCCCCCAAGCACCACCAGCAGTAATTCCAGAGAGCAGAACCAGAAGAAATCCCTGAGCATTGCTGGGCGTAACCCAAAATACAAAAAAAAAAAAAAAGAGGATACTTCTGAGCACTGAATAAACTAATTAATAAATACAGCTTTTGCATGGACAATACTGAAAGAACAAGAGAAAAATAGTGTATATGGAATGAACAAGAGAAAAATAGTGTATATGGAAAGTACTTAGCAGGTAAATATAAGGCCTACATTTCTGACCTTATAATAATCAAGATGTCAATTTTCCAAAATTCACAATGCAGACAAGAGACTTCAAATGAAATAGATCTGAGAGGATCAGTGTGAAGGTACAATATCTGTTCCCTGGCCCAATCATCACTGGCAGCCTCACCTCTAGGGGTAGGTAGGTATGCTTTTGTTCTTGGCCAACTTGCAGGCAGGGCAGGTGGGGATACTTGAGCTGAAGGTTATATTTCTGCTTGAAATACTGTGCCACTGTGCACTCCACAGTCTGTCCACTCTCCAGCTGCAAGGGAAACCTGTTTGGGGGGAAGGGAAGGTAGTGTCACATCCTAGCATGCAATTCTGCCTTGCTAGGCCCACAATCATGGGAAATCTCAAACATGACTTCATCCCTATCTGGCCTCTTTGAACACCGCCACTCATGGAAAAGTGGGCAATACACTGACGCAAGGAAAAGACCGAAGATTTAACAGTTAAGTCAGGACCATACTTGACTCCTTTCATGTTAAGTCTAAAAGCTTGAAACACAAGAAAGATTCATGGTCTAGTAAAGTCTGAAGTCAACAAGGTGGACAGAGAGGCCAGGAGAGTCGAAGAGCACATGCCTAGCATATGCAAGGCCCTGAGTTAAATCCCCACAGTAGGCCCCCAATCCTCATCACAGCAGAACCAGGTATGGTCCTGGTGGTTCTAAGAACCATCAGCCTATCCATCTATTACCAGAAGTAGCCCCAGTTGAAAAAGAGAAGACGAGGGTGGGGTGTGTGTAGCAATAGTACAATGGATAGGGCATTTGCCATGCAGTTGACCAGTGTCCAATCCCTGGCATCCCATGCGGTCCCCCAAGCCTCCGGCAGTGATCCCTGAGCACCGACTCACGAGTAAGCCCTATGCACCGGTGGGTGTGGCCCAAAAAACAAAAAAGAGGGAAGCTGGATAGAATTAGTGTCAGCTACCTCAAAGTCTATGCCAGAAGTTCAGCTTTCCTTTTCAAGAGGAAAGGTGAGTTGAGAAAGACTTTAACATTTACAAAACTGAAAGAGGAGTCAGGGAAACATGCCTGCTCTATAGGAGAGGCCCAGGGAGGAAAGGTGGATATCAGGAATGCAAAATGGTACACTATCTATCAATCTGGGAAGGTTGAAGGAGGAATGTTAAATTTCCTCAGCCATTTATCTTTAAACACAGGGTCAGTAAGTTTCATTTTCAGGGCAAGATTGGGGGTGCGGAAAGGGGAGGTTGATGGGTGGTGGCAGGGAATGTGTTGAAATGTCAGCCCTTTAGGATGACTTAATATCCCTGCCAACTTACGTTTGATGACTAGCAGGGCGGCGGGTAACATTACACACTCGGTATTTCCTCTTCATCTGCCCACAGTGGGTCACTTCCACCTTCAGACCTGGGAAACAGTGTGTCAGGGTTGGAAGGATTTCTCACGTGCCCAGGCCTGGCCTCTCTCCTGAACACTGAACACAACCCAGTCGATTTTTCCTTTAAAGGATAAAGTTAACACCTGACCAGGGAGATATCGCAAAAGAACTGGAGCGCTTGCTCTGCTTGTGGGAGGCTCAGGTTTCATCCCTAGCATCACAGGACTCTCCGAGCACCACCAGGACCAACTCCCGGAGCACTGTAGCAGAAATGGAGCCAGTCCCCCGCCATCACCCAAATCAAAAGAACTACTTGTGTTCTCTCAACTGGATGCTCACCCTTGATCTCCTTGGTGAATCGCACACGCTGAGAGTCTGTGAGGGGCTTGGGCTGCTCGTCTATGTTCCTGATGTCCAGCACCTCACACATGAACTCGATCACTGGCTGTGCCTTATAGAAGGCAGTGGCTGAGACTGTGGGGACAGGGTAAGGAGAACGCAGATGAGGTCCTGTCTTCCAGGAAAAATGAAGGCACATCTCTTTCACACCCTCTTCCTTATAGGGTTTTGGGATGGGGGAGGGGTCCCAGGGCAGTAGGGATTAGACTAGGACTGTGGTTGCAGAGCTGGGAGGGATGAGGCTGGGGGTGTGGTCACTGGATTTAGGGTGCCCCTGGCTCCATAGCTCTCCCCACTCACCATCAATGTTGAGCATCATCTTCCACATGGCAGGGCGCACAGACTGGTGAAAGCCGAACCAGACCTCGCGCCCACCCCCCAGCGGGTGGTAGTAGCCCTCAGGCGGTGAGAAGAAGGAGCGGCCCACAGGGGTGTACCTGGCAGGGACAGGCAGAGAACTGGTCCCTCGGGCACAGGCCCCCACCCTGTGAGGCATCCTGGGCACGGAGGAGCCCTGGCCTGGAAGGCAGGACACCGGGGCTTTAATTCCAGCTCTGATTCTTGACTAGCCGTGAGACTGACCTTGTGCAAGTCTCTACCCTTTCTCTGCCCTGCTGGGACAGACGGGGTGAGGTCCAAAGACATCTAAAAGGGTCAGGGTCAAGACTTTAAACCATCTAAATGCATATGCACATCTGCCTGACATATCTTAGGGCAATAAAGAAGTTTTTATTTATTAGGATCTGCTCATTCCCCTCCCCCCTCCATAGCAGTTCTACCACCACTAGTAGCCCAGATACTAACTACATCCAGTACCTCATGGATGCCAGGTGCCTCATGGCCACATCCAGGGCTTGCACAGACTCCAGGGGAACAGGGATCTGGCCACTGACTAGGGCCTCATGCAGCATTCGCCAACTCACAATGGCTAGCCACTTGATGGACACCTTGAAGATTCGATCCTTCCCTTCCCCGGGGATAGTCACCTCAAAGTCAACCTTCAGAAAAGAGGCAAGGTGAAGAGTGACCAGTATTACAAACAGTCAACATCTCTTACTCCACCCAACTACTCTCTGCCTGATGGATTTGCCAAGAATCCATTTCTTCAGTTTTCAGGGACTCCAAATGAAGACTTGAATACACCCAGGGCCAGGGAAATACCTCAAAGAGCTGAACCATTTGCCGAGCATGTGCTAGGCCCCAGTTCAGTCCCAAATAACACAGCCTCCCAAAGATTATCAGATATATTCTGAAGCCCCTACCACCATTTAGAAAGGGCTCTCATGACCCTAAAAAATAATGAATAAATCTACCCACTTGTCTCCAGCAACTCTGGTTTGGTGCTTCTGCCCCACTCAATTTCATTCAGCAGGAAGTTCTTTAGGTCTACTTTAAATCTAACCTGTCTGGGACAGGAAAGGGCTTGGAAGTTGAGTAAACCTTAACATCTACCCATCCCTCATTCTAAAAGAGTTTCTCAGCACAGAGATGAAATGGATCTCTAGACTTTCAGTCTCTAGACAGGCTTTCATAACTCAAATTCCAAACTGCTGTCTCCCAGGATGTGCCCCAAACTTACCCGTTCATTTCCAATGGGCAGTGCAGTAACAGTGTAAATGTTCTTCTTTCCATCATACACGGGCTTGCGGTCACCAAAGATCTGAGGCTTGAAATGTTGGACCATGTATTCCACCACTTCCCTGTGGGGGATAGGAGTGGCCTGTGGAAGCTGAGAGACTACCACTTCAAGTTTATGGAGCTAATCCAAAGTCCAGAAAATGTACTATCAACTACATTCTCTCTTAGCACCTAATATAATCTCATTTGTTTATTTGGCTTTTGGGTCATACCTAATGGTGCTCAGGACTTACTCTGGGCTCTGCTCAGAGAACACTCCTGGTGGGTTTGGGGGACCATACGGGGTGCTGGTGATTAAATCCAGGCTAGCCACATGCAAGGCAAGCATACTACCCACTGTACTATCTAGATAGCCCCATATATTCTCATCTATTTTATGGCAGTATTTCTCATTCATTGAAACACCTTATTAATATGTAAATCCAGGGGCCAGAGAGATAGTACAGTGTGTAGGGTGCTGACCTTGCACACAGCCAACACAGGTTTGATCCTCAGCACCCCATAATGGTCTCCCAAGTCCACCAAGAATGATCCCTGAATTCAGACATAGGAGTAAGCTTTAAGCACTGCTGGTATGGCCCCAAAGCCAAAAATAATAAAATGAAACAAAATACAGATTTAGAGCCAGTATGTCTAGAACTAAGCTTGAAAGTCTTTATCTCTAAAATACTTCCAGGGGGCGGGAGCAATAGTACACTGGGTAGGGTGTTTGCCTTGCACGAGACTGACCCAGGTTCGATTCCCAGCATCCTATATGGTCCTCCGAGCACTGCCAGGAGTAGCTCCTGAATCCAGAGCCAGAAGTAACCCCTGAGCATCATCGGGTGTGACCCCCTCTCAAATAATAATTTAAAAAATTTAATTTAAAAAATAAAATAAAATACTTCCAGATGATGCTTCCAGTCCTCATATCACCAAGGCTTTAAAGGACCTGCAAGAATAGATGTGAATGCTTTCTGAGCAGAGACAGAGTCCGAAAGAAGAAGGGCTTAATCTCCAGATCGTCCCAGAATCAGGAACAGAATCCACACTGCAACTATCTCCAAAATGATAAACAAAAAGACAGGTGCAGAAGGGATCTAAATTGGAATAAACTGTGGAAAGAGAACTTCATCTCTTACATCATTTTGAAGTCTTAATCATTCCTGTTCTCTAAGATTACACTGCCCCTTAATCCTCAAAAATCCCAACCAACCAACCTCTTTCACCTTCTAAAACAAGACTCTTAAATATTCATTGATACAAAGACTCAAAATGTACACTGGCTGTTACCTGTAAACAGATAGTTTCAATCCCAATAAGACTCAGTGCTGTCCAGAAATCTTTTTCATGTCCGAGGATCATTTCCATTACTCTCAAGACTATATGAGGTGTGGTGCCTCAGAGAGACAGTACAGCAGGTAAGGCACCTGCGTTACAGGCAGCCAACCCAGTTCAATCCTGAGACAGCATATGGTTCCCCGAGCCCTGCCACGAGTGATCCCTTAGTGCAGAGGTAGGACTATGTGTGGAGCAGAGAGAGTATATAAAGGTGTTTGGTTTGTACACAGCTGATCCAGTTTCGATCCCCACCACCACTGATGTACTGTGAAGCCCTCTCTGCTACTACCCTTTACTTCCAGAATCATCCCTACTTCTTATAATAAAAGACCTTTAACTCCAAAAACAGTAGAACATAATAGACAAAGTTACCCTCAAGCTCCCAGAGAAACATTTTTATCTAAACACAAACTTTCCTTTTTCTCCACCTCATGTTTGAATTGTCTCTTCCATACAAAGCTTTTAAACATGAAAAGTTATATTTATCTTCATTCATGAGAGACCTATAATGAAATACTAGGCCAAAATATATTATTTTAGTTATTGAAATACCAAAGACAGAGGGTCAGAGAGACAGTACGATAGGTAAGACTCCTGGCGTACAAGAAGCTGGCCTAGGTACTATCCTCAGCATCCCATATGACCCCCCAAGTCAGGCAGGAGTGATCTCAGAATGCAGAGCCAGGAGTAGCCCTGAGCATAGCAGGGTGGGACTCAAAAAGAAAAGAAAACAAAAAACAAAGATTAAAAAGCCAAAATGCCGGACTGGAACAGATATGGAGGAAAGGCATTCTGATTCCCTACTGATGAGAATATAAACTGGCGTAACTTATTTTTTTAAAAAAGAACATCAATATCTCGAAGTATCTAATTTTATTTTGTTTTTATTTTGAAGCTATACCCAGTGGAACTCAAGGCTTACTTCAGGCTCTGTGCTCAGGGGGGAAAAAGGGGTGACAGGGATAAGAAGTAAATCGGCTGCATGCAAGGCAAAGGCATTATTACCTCTCCAGCTCTTCTCATAGTTTTGTGGAGGGTTTTGTGGTTTTTGTTTGTTTGGCTTCAAACACTGCACTGCACTGCCCTCCCATTGTTCATCGATTTGCTCGAGCGGGCCCAGTAACGTCTCCATTATTAAACTTGTTGTTACTGTGTTTGGCATATCGAATACATCACGGGGAGCTTGCCAGGCTTTGCCGTGCGGGCGAGATACACTCGGTAGCTTGCCGGGCTCTCCGAGAGGGACAGAGGAATCGAATCAGGGTCGGCCAGGTTGGTCTCGTGCAAGGCAAATGCTTTACCTGCTGTGCTATCGCTCCAGCCCCTGTGCTAAACAAACTGAATTCAATTTAAACATGAGATGGAGAAAAAGGAAAGTTTGTGTTTTGGGACACATCCAGCAATGCTCAGGGGTTACTCCTGGCTCTGCATTCAGGAATTACTAGTGGTGCTTGGGCAACCGTATAAGATGCTGAGGATTGAACTTGGGTTGGCTACGTGCAAGGCAAACGCCTACCCACCATACAATCACTCCAGCCCTGCTTTTTGGTGTTAGTGGTCCATACCCAGCTGTGCACAGGACTTACTCCTGGCCCTATACACATCAATCATTACTGGCAGAACTCAGGGCACCATACATATACAGTGTGGAGGACTGAACCCAAGTCGGAAAACACCTTCCCCACTATACTATCTCTCTGGCCCCTTCATAGAATTTTAAAGTCCTGTGCCAGCAATTCCACTCCTAGATAAATTTAATTGCAAACTGCATCTACATTTATAATATTCAACGTAATTTCATTTTGTATCCAAAAATTGCGTTTATTTGTTTTGGAGCCACACTGGCAGTGCTCAGAACTTACTCCTAGCTCTGTGCTCAGAGATCACTTCTGGTATTGCTCGGGGAACCATATGTGGTGCTGGACATCAAACCCAAGTCAGACACATGCAAAACAAGTGCCTTACCTGCTGTACTGCCAATTGAGTCTTGTAGCAAAATTTTATACTCAACAGGTTTATTAAATAATACTTCCATTCAATTAACTACCTTTGGAACTATGCGAAAGAATGAGCAGATATATATTTAATACCTATAAAAACAGTATATATAATTTTTTAAACACATTAATAGAAAAAAGACAAACTGCAGAACAAGGTATACATAATTATATTTTTTTCAGAATTCTATTTCTTATGGACTTAATAGAATGTGCATTAGACATATACAAATGTTTTATATGCATATAAAACTCTAGAGCAAACTTAAGAATGGTAACAATGAAAGCTTATGGGAAAAGGCACCAGAGTAACTGCAGATCTTTTTCATTGCTACTCTTTTTTGATTTTTCAATTACATGATTTTACAATAATAACAAATTGAGCGAGAGATATAGTACAGTGGGTAGGGCATTTTCCTTGCACTCAGCTGACCTAGGTTCGATCCCTGGCATCCCATATGGTCCCCAAGCACTGCCAGGAGTAATTGCTGAGTGCAAAGCCAGGAGTAACCCCTGAGCATAGACAGGTGTAACCCAAAAGCCAAATAATAATAACAATAATAACTTTTTTATAAAGTAGTTTCTCTCAAAGATTAATCCACTATCTGAAGTCCTTCTGTCTAAAACATCCTATTCATTCCTTTAATCTGTGTTCTATACCATTTGTTTTGTTGCCACATCCAGCAATGTTTAGGACATACCCCTGGCACTGTGCTCAGGAATCACTCCTGGTGAGCTTGAGGGGTTATTGAGGATGCCAAGAATCAAACCGGGATCAGCTGCATGCAAGTCAAGTGCCCTAACCATGGTAATGTCTCTCTGGCCTCTACATATTTCATGCTTTAAAAATTCATGTTTCCATCAACTCATTCAATAAATATTAAAATGAGATAAGTACTGTACTTTACCCCTTAACACCCTCTCTATCCAATACATTCCTTCTCTCCCCAGATTTTACCCTTACATGGAAAAAGAAAATTTTTCTGTTCTCACTGTCCTTAGACATTATTTCCTATTTATTACTTAAAATCACTGTAGTTAGATTACTAGTCCAATTAGTCTACTCAAACTACTCTGGCAAAAGGTACCAATCATTGACCAGAACACAAATGCAATGACATTTTTCCAACATGTACTGTTCCTGGAATCTTGTTTCTGACTTTAATTAATCTCGCGATACAAGCCTGTGTTAAGTTTCTCTTTGACCTCTCTGGATCTTCTTTCAGGGTTCCAAGACTCACTAGTGTAGACTCCCAAACCTGGTGCTCAGCTAGGAGATCCATCACTTACCGATTGACTCTGCGAGGACACTTATCTGGCTTGATATCCACCTCGTAGTGGTAGACGTCAATCTTAGGGATGTCCACCTCAAAGTAATTGGCCAGGAGCTTGATTGGTTTCCCCACAGTGCCAATGCCAGGCCGGCGAGGTGCCTGGAACACCTGCTGCAGGGGGGGCAGGTAGGTGCCCGCAGCTGTAAGACAAAGAATCTCATGAAGATAGAGTCTGGCAATATTCTTACTGCTCTGCTCAGTGGAGGACAATGCCTCCATGAGTGGGAGCAGGAAAGCATTGGGGTAACCTCTTTACTGCCTAAGTAACCCAAACTAAGGGTTCCACTGACTCAGGTATCAGACGCAATTGAAAAACAAAACTTTCGGGGGCTGGAGTGATAGTACAGCAGGTAGGGCGTTTGCTTTGCGCGCGGCCGACCTGGGTTTGATTCCCAGCATCCCGTATGTCCCCTGAGCACCACCAGGAGTATTTCCTGAGTGCAAAGCCAGAAGTAACCCTGTGCACGGCCAGGTGTGACCCAAAAAAGAAAAAAAAATAGTATAGCAAATAAGGCCTTGCATGCGGCTGATATGGGTTCAAATCCCCAGCACCCCATATGGCCCCTGAGAGTGCCAAGAGCGATCCCTTATCACAGAGCCAGGAGAAAATCCTGACCAAGAGTGGCCCAAGCCCCCCCACCTCCAAGTAAACCTCTCTCCAGTTAGAAAAAAATAACCTTTTTTATCTTTTTTTTAAGCAAGAAAGTTTTTATTTAGAAAAATGTGAGGAGAGAGAGAAGGAGAAGAACATGTTTGAGGGAGAACAGAGTGTTCTCCAGAGTGGAAATAAGCAAAGAAGCAAGCAAGCAAAAATAATGTGTTCAAGGGCTGGAGCGATAGCACAGCGGTAGGGCGTTTGCCTTGCACGCAGCCAACATGGCCAACCCGAGTTCGATTCCTCCGCCCCTCTCGGAGAGCCCGGCAAGCTACCGAGAGTATTCGATATGCCAGACACAGTAACAACAAAGTCTCCGATGGAGACGTTACTGGGCCCGCTCAAGAAAATCGATGAACAACGGGAGAACAGGACAGGACAAGGGAGAACATGGGTATAAAGACCACACCCCCTTTTATCTACCTTAAATTTGCCAAGTAAATCCATATCATGTTATCTATCTTAAATTCAACGATTTTAAATTATCTTAAGCTCATCGAATAACTACATAATCTAGGAAAAGCAGAGGGGGCTCTGCCTCCCATAACAAAACTTCACTATGATGTTGAGATTAAGATACTTGCTTCCACCAAGCATTAAGCTAAGCAAAAATAAATGCCTTCAGTCAGATGCTCAATTTACTTGCCACCGTTCTCAACAGAAAAACGCAGCATCCAAGCGGCATCTTTGCAACGCAGGCAGGGAGAATATGAAAAGATGGGAAAGACCAAGAAGCCAAGAAGGCCCGAGGTGTTCGCTTCATACTGCTGAGGTTTCTGGACTCAGTTCTCTAGGTTTGAGACCCTCACAGCAAAAATATGGGAGGAACTGAGAAAACAGGATGCTTGCCTTGTATGTGGACCCCCAGGCTCGATCCTTAGAATCCTAAACAGTCCCCCCAAGGACCCTCAGGAGTAATTCCTGACTGTAAAGCCAGAAGTGAGCCCTAAGTATTGTTGGGTGCCCCCCCCCACCAAAAAATGTGAAACGGGGAGGGAGAAAAAGTCAAGGCTAAGAAGACTGAGTTTGGAGGATAAAGAGGCTTAAGTAGGAAGCTGATAGAGGCCAAAACTGTATACCACAGTAAAGGAAGGTTTGAATTGGTTGCCAAGGCAGAAGAAGCAAAGGTTGAAATCAGGTAGTGGGTAAAAAAAGATTGGAGCTCGAAATTTAGGCAAGAAATACGATTGCAAATGAGGGAAAAAATTGCAAGAGAGGAAACTGCTAGAGGGGTTGGAGATAGTACAGTGGGTAGAGAGCTTGCCTTGCACAAAGTGAAGTCGGGTTCTATCTCAGCCTCTCATATGGTCCCGTGAGCCCTGCCAGGAGTAATTTCTGAGCACAGAGCCAAGAGTAAGTTTTGACCACCACTAGGGTGTGACCCCAAAACAAACCAAAAAATAAAAAGACTAGAAAATGAAGACAAAAATGAATTTAGAGATTGCAGCAAAGGCTGCAATAAAGGATCTGGGAAGAAGTCTCAACAAATAAAACAACTGAAGAGAAGAAATTGAAACTGACTCTGGAAAGGAGACTACAAGAATTTCTCCACAGCTCCTTTGCCTTCCAGCCAGAAGAGGCCCTTCAGGGCCAGTTTCCACAACTTTCTCCTTTCTACCACCAGTCAGATTACTGTTCCTGTTTAGAACTATTTTCTAGCTTGAGGGGAAAGAGAGACAAAAGGGAAACTGCCTAAAAGAAGCCTTTGTCTATGAAGCTTTGTCCCTGCCAGGAGAAGACAGTCCAGGTGGGAGGAGAAAGGGAAAAAACAGCCCAGAACTTCCCATCACCAAAGCTGTTTTCACTGTCTGCCAGGTTTGGGGATGGAGTTTATGGGGGGGGGGGGAGGAGTCAGGAAGAGGTCAAACCTTATTCAGGGGAGGGGCATGCCACCCGGAGCAAAAACTGCCCGATCTCCCAACCACCTCTCAGGCCCAGCCCCACTCCAAAGACTGAAAAGGTAGCCCAGATTGGGAGCAAATGACCTTCAGGATTCTGCTACATGAAAAAGTCCTATAACTCGGCTACCCACCCTACAAAGGGAAGCACAGAAAATACACAGAAATAAACACGCTCACGCATCTGGTGGGACGCATTCCTAGATTATATACTCAAATACACACCAAGACCTACACAGGTGCCATTTTACCCACCACCCTTGGTTGTGACTTCTTCCGATTACATGTGCATTAGGTCACTGCTAAACTCTCGAGATCCCAGCACTCAGAATGGGTTCAAGGTATCGAATGAACAGATCCACACACACACTGCGAACTTACACACACAGCACACAAACCGGCACACTGTCCAGGAACAATTATAAACCATGCTCAAGACAAATAAGTATTTGGTGGATGCGCTTAGTAAGAGATACATTTTCCCTCCCTAAATTCTTACATTTTATTCACCTTCCCCTCCTAGTCTGAATAATCCTTAGTCTCCAAGTCTGAATAACTGTTTTTGAGCCTTGGGAGAAAGACATCTTCTACAACTCGGAGCTGGGTAGAAAAGACAAGACACGTGAAAGACTAGCTCCAGTGGTAAAACTAAAGTGACCCACCAGATTTAGCCTCAGGCATCCTCCACTCCAAGGAGGGTTAGAGAAACAGGAAAACCCTAACCTCCCCTTCATCAGCATACCAGAGAAGGCAGGAGAAAAGGAGAAAGTCTCTGCCATCACATCCCCCTCCAAGCCTTACAGCTGTACAAAGTCCCCCTTACTCCACCCTGCCCCCAGCTTTTAGTCTGAGAAAGGGAGACACATCCCTTCAGATCCAGACAGGGACAGACGGCCACTTTGTGATGCAGATGAGGGCCCCAGCACAGAGGACAAAGCTTGGGCCTTGGGGGAAAGAGGCGGGGCCCTTCCCCGCAGACAAAAGCAAGGAAGGAGGGGCCCTGAAAAGGACACTCCCCCTCCCCCATCTCCAACCAGCACTGAGGAGGAAAAGTAACAGAGCTGAAAGGCCGGGCTCTGAGACTCCTGCCCCGCAGTTCCAAGGCTAACATACCTTCCAAAGAGATGAGGGCCGATTCAAAGACAAACTCAAAACTGGGCAAGCAAAGACTAGGAGGTCAAGCTCTCTAAAAAGAATATGCCCACATATGAGTATACATAAGAATTATTAAATATCCACTTGAGCAATCATTTCTGTGCATAGGATGTCAAATAAATTGATAAATAATGCCCTCTGCGTGACAGCTCGGGCCTTCATTAGTTCCAAGGGGGGAAAAAAAACATCCTGACTCTGGGGTCAGAGTGCCCCAGAGTGCAATGGGTATGGCTCTTGAATTGCATGCAGCCAACCCGGATTTGATCCCCGGCACCCCACATGGTCCCCCAAGCCTGCCAGGAGTGAGAGGAGAGCCAGGAGTAAGCCATGAGCACTGCCAGGTGTGGTCCAAAAACCAAACAAGACACTGCCTCTATCCTCAGAGAGCTCTCAGCACAGTATGTACTGGGACAAACTTGAATGTATCGGGCACACCTGGGCAAAAATGCAGTGAGGTTGGCCATGACATCCACGTTTTATGTGTCGTGACGTCCAATTTTCAAGAGAACAGTTTGGACACAGGATGGAGGCAGTGGAGTTCCTACATTCAAAGATTTCAGAACGCATTTCAGTTACCCTCTTTAATAAAGCCCACTAGGCTACAGCAGACTCCAGACACCACGCTCTAGTCCCTTCTCTGGAAGTTTATTTCTTACAATAAAAAGTCCATTTTTCATTATTTCAGAGCCCAATCCTCAGAATAAAATTATTAGTAGTCTGATAAAGGTGCCAGCTCCCAGCAGTTCTTCTGGGCCTCTGTGACCTTCCCCTAAACTACGGGTCTAGAAAATTGAAAGTTCCTATGATGTTGGGAAGAGCCTAAAGGATGTAGTTTTCTAAAGCTGATTTCTCCCTGTAATATAACTAAGGACCTGTACAGTCTCTATGTGGTTATTTTCATTTAGGAGAAAGTTGTCACTAAGTAACTGAAGATCAGAATGGATGATTGAAATGAACTGTCAAAAACCACATCCTTTTATGCCATCCTTAGAAGCGGCATAAAAGATAATTTCTTCTACCGAACTAATAATGAAATTAATGTCTCCAATGAAAATTTTATTCCCACCCCTAGATAAAATGGAAGTAATCAGTGAGAGCAGGTCTAAAGAATACCCTGATTCAGACTGTGCCTCCCGCCCTGAAAGGATCAGACCTAAGATATAGGAGGGGTCAGCCCATTGTCCATCTGGACGCAGGACTTCAGACTTCTGGGATAGTCCTGCCTGATTTCACCTGTTCTTATCGCCTTTTCTCCTGATTGCCTGTGAATGAGAAATACAGGCTATCTCTTGGAACTCAACAGCCAGCCTGATGCTTGTAAACTACTCCATCACCCAAATAAGTTGACTATAACGGAAATGTTAGCTTTACAACTGTGGATCCACTGACATGGTCAAGATAGTTTCAGAGATAGAGGGGGGAAAAAAAGATATCCAGTGCAGAACAGAAGCAGTCAAGTAAAAATGTTAAACCATAAAGAGATTAGGCTGCCATCATAAGAGATATTTTGATGTTAAGGTCATTAGCCTTGGATTAAAACATCCTATGGCTACTTAGGTTAGGGCCAGAAACGGGCAAACCAGGCAGACAACTCCTTCCACGTAAACCTGGCCATGGCCTTGGTTCTTCAGGAACGAACACTTTTTCTAAGGCCCGTCTTCTGGGAGCACCCGCCCCCAGAACAATCTTTCTGTAAGTCTTTCCTAAACCCAGTAGCAAAAGGCACTTTGGCAGTTTCCTGCAACCCATTCTTAGCAAATAACGACTGGGGGATTTCTAGAGCCCACAAGATGGGGATGGGGAACACTTCCATCTGCGCACTGGGAGCATAACCTTAGAGAATGCATCTCATCAGCGTGCATTTTTCCAAACCAAACGGAGGGGGGGGGCTCAGGCAGCCACGCCCCCCCACACCGGCGGCCCCTACCAGCTGCTACCTTCGCGCATGCTCCAGCGCCTCCTCTCCAGATCCCATACTCAGGGGGGAATCCCGGGGTTGGGTCCCCACCCACACCGCCCCCTGACCCTCGCCCGCCGGCGCGTCAGGCCCGGCTGGGGCGGAGCTCACAGCCCGGCTCTGGCGCCTTCTCCCAAGAGGTATTAGCCCAGCCCAGCCCGTCTGAGCCCCCGCCCCCGGCATGCGGCAGCTTGGGGCCCATCTGTATCGACCCCCTCCTCTCCGGGACACCTGGAGCCCGCCTCCTGCCACCTGCCGGGCCTCTCCCTAGGCCTCCCGGGGTCTCCGAGAGTCCTTCCGGTCCTTCTCGGTCCTTCTCGCAAATTACTTTCCACCCCTACGACTGCATGCACCCTCCTTGGACAAACGGCCCCATCTCAGGGAGCCCTTGACCAGGTTTCCCCCGGAACTGCACGCAGCCCTCTTCAAACTGGGCCCTCCATCCCAGGAGAGTCCCTCTCCCTTACTCAGGAGTCCGTCCCTCATTCGGAAGCCCTGTTTTTCTCGCAGGAGTCTCCGGATTTGTGGAGCACGCACAGTCCCGTCCCCCTCCCATCCCTCCGTTCCCCCGATTCCCGAGGGCCCTTACCTGCTCCCGAGGGTCCCGCTTCCATCCCATATACCCGTGCGGAGGTCAGGCGGCCCGGAGTCAGTGGAATCCAAGCGTGAGGGGCCTAAGCACCCCGCACTCTAGCTGCTTGGGCTCGGGCCGGGCTCGGCTCCCCCCCCAAGCCCGGCCGCTCGCGCCGCCGCCCCCGCAGCCTCCGTTGCCGCCGCCGCCGCCGCCGCCGCCGCCGCCGCCGCCGCGGAGCCTGCAGCAGCTCTCCCTGCGAGCGCCCGGCCAGACGCCAGTGCGCAGGCGCGACCGCCAGGCCCAGGGGGCGGACGGGAACGAGTCAAGCGGGGCGCTCGACGGCAACAAAGGCCAATGGAGAGGGGCGGGGGCAGCAGGGATCGGAGGCAGCGGCCCCTGGCGGTCACCCGTCGCCATGCAGCCAGCGGGAGGGCTCCCGACAGAGCCGTGGCAGAACCGCGCAGGGGTGTGGGAGCGAGGTGGGGCGGGGTGGCAGGACACCCTGCGTAGCAGCAGCCGCCAGCCCGCGGGTCTTTTCCCCTGGCGGGTTTCTCAAACCTTCACACAGCTTTCCACCTGGGTGCACAGAGACACGCGCATATTGCAGGAGCCTGTCTTCATTCCAGACATTCCAAGTGCCCCATCACCCAGTGGCCCTGAGTCCCACCTCTGCCCCCAATAATCCTTGGCTGCAAAGCAACAGCCTCGGTGAAGCCCTCCTCCATCCGTCACTGAACTCACTGACGCCACCCTCTCCTCCAGGTAATGCTCGGCACTGAGAACACACAGATAAAGATCCTTCCTACCCAAGAGCCTCTTGGGAGTTCTTTGGAAGCTGAAAATCACCTACCTCCACTTCCTCTACTCTCCAGTTCACGCCCAAACTCAATGTGCTTCTGCTTTTACCGGGGCGCTTAAAAGTTTTCCTTGGGGGGCTGGAGAAATAGCACAGCGGGTAGGGCGTTTGCCTTGCATGTGGCCAACCTGGGTTCCATTCCCAGCATCCCATATGGTCCCCTGAGAACCGCCAGAGGTATTTCCTGAGTGCAGAGCCAGGAGTAACCCCTGTGCATTGCTGGGTGTGACCCAAAAAGCAAAAAAAAAAAAAAGTTTTCCTTGAAACTGGAGAGTTAGTACAAGGGTTGGGGCATGTGGTCCATGCACCCAACTCTGGTCCTATTCCCGGCACCACATGGCTGCCATCATCCCTGCTTTTAGTCCCTATCTTCAAACACCTCCAGGGTCCCTAACCCTGGTTGTCCACAGCATCACAATGTTCCTCCCAGCACCGCATCCTTGGGTCCTCTCATTGGGCCTTGGGCCTGGTTGGTCAAGAATCACCCAAAATCACCAGGAGTGGCCCCCAGGTTCCCTGAGCCCCAACTGGGAGACCCCTACCCAAAGAGACTTTTTGTTTTGAAATTCAATGGATAATTTCCCGTTTCTCTATCTCTCAAGTATCTGACACAGTGCCCCTCCTTTATGTAGAAATGCCTTTTACTATGCTCACACATTTCCTGAAGTCTCATATTTCTTAATTCCTTGAGCTTCAAGGGTCCCTTCTTGCTTTAGCCCCTTTAAGTGTTCACCCTTGTTATAAGCTTAATTCTCATTTTACTCTCCCACTTTTCCCTTGAAGGTGTCATCTATTCTGTGGCTTAACTATCCTTCCATATCACCCTTTCCGGTAATGTCTCAGACTCACAGTTCCAAAGCGTCTGCTGGACAGCTCCACCTGAACACCCAACCAATGATTAAAATTTACAATTCCTGAAGTTGGACCAGAGAGCTAGCTCAATGGGATAAGCAGATGCTTTACATGCTTGAACCCTGATCTCCTGAACTGAGCACAAAGCCAAACGTAGCCCTCAGCACCCTAATGTGGCCCAAGAACAAAACCTCACTTTTTACCTTTCCCCTAACAAACTGCTTTTCTTGTGATTTTTGTTTCCAAGAATGGCACTTTCGTCCCAGAAATGACTGTTTTTCTCTCTACTTTGGTTCCTCTTCCCACTCAACCTTTCATCCAGTTCCGACATGTTTTCCTCCTTAGCTGCTCCCATAGAATACCCCTAAGTTTCTGAGGATGTGTTGGGAAGAGGAGAGAGTTGGGTCACCTACCTGACAATGCTCTGGGGACCATATGGAATGCGAGGGGTCAAACCTGCATACAAGGCAAGCACCATACTCATTGTACTACTGCTCTGGCCCCTCTAAGGGTTTTTTTGGTGCTGGTTCAGACATTTACCATCACTTGCCAAAAGTAGCACAACCACTTCCTTGTAAGTTTCACAGTCAGTCTGCTACATTTGATTAAGTGGTAAAAGATCCAACTCAAATATCACTTTCCCATACAAATACTCATCTGTATTCATTCATATGGATTTTTTTTCCCTTTTGCAATGCCAGGGATTGAATTTAGGTCTCATTTAAGCAAAGCATGTGCTTTACTATTAAGACACATTCCCAGTCCTCCATATATATTTCTGATGCCGACTTTATTCTAGATGCTGTGTAAGGAGCTAGGAACATAAAACAAAGGTTCCTAGTTCCTTCCCATAAAGCATTAATGCCTTGACACTAACAGCATGACTCTAATTGAGGTTTTCAAACAGTTGGCTTCTAGAACCTTATGGAGGCCAAGTATACAACTAAGTGGTGAAAGAGTATTTTTCTTGCAGGTATGAGGCCCTAAATTTGATCTCTGGGAGGAGAGAAAGGGAGGGGAGGGGAAGGGAAGGAAGGGGAGAAGAATGAGATAGGAATGGAAAGGAGGGAAAGGAGTAAGGAAGGGAGTAGAGAGAGGGGGAGGGGAGGGAAGAGAGAGAAAGGGAAGGAGAAGAGGCAGGGAGAGAGGAAGAGATTATAGATTCACATGGACTTGTTAATACAGTTATTCCTGAGCCTCTTCTCCAATCTGTGATTCAGGAAGTCTTGGATAGGACCAGGCTTGTCTAATAAATTGCCAAATAGTCTAATGCTGCCTGTTTGGTGCCACACCTTAAGAATTATCTAAAGTATAAAGTTAAGAACAAAGATTAAGAACAGAGAACAAAGATCCTAAGGTCAGAGTGTCTTTATTTGAATCCTAGTGCTGCTATTCCCTAGTTGTTTAAGACTGTTCAAATAATTCTGTTTTGGTTTTGGTTTTTGGTTTGGTTTGGTCTGGTTTGGTTTGGGGCCACACCTGGATTAGGGCTTACTCCTGGCTCTGAATTTAGGAATCTCTCGTGGCAGGCTGGGAGTACCATATGGGATGCCAGAAATTAAATCCTGGGTCAGTCCTCATGCAAGGCAAATACCCTACCCACAGCTACAGCCCCTGGACAATTTAAACTTTGCCCTGTCTCAACTTCCTCTCTGTAAAGAGGGGGCGGGGTAGGAGGGGGATAGGACCTACCCCATTGTTTTTTTACCCATGAAATGATCTTTTATTAATTTTATAGTTAATACAACTCTGTAAACTAGTATATGTTATGTTCTTAGAAGCAAGTTGTTATTCCTTTTCCTTGAAGATACAGAGGCTAAAGGAAAACAGTTTCAGAGGCCAGGGAGATAGCCCAAAGAACCTAGCTCTGGCTTTGCATGCGGGGAACCAATGCACCTTAGAGACAACCACCCCCACACAGCCCCCTAGCATTGAAAAGCGAATCACATCTTGAAATGCTCGCGATAGGACCTACCCCATTTGGAAGGTGTTAATACATATAAAGAGTTTAGAACAGTCCTTGAACTTTAGAACAGGACACAAGCATATTGTTAGCTGGTATCATATCACTGACAGCCTCTTTCACTATATCCTAATTTCTTTAAAATACAGATTGTGTATATAACTTTTGCCCCTTTAGTGTTTGTCATAAGCTATGCATAGAATGATCAGTAGATCTGGGTTATTCATATCAAACAGATAGCATTAAATGTAAACAGAAATAGACCTTTATGTAAACAAAACCAAGTTGAAATCTCAGCATTTAAAATACTAGTTTGAACGCCCTATTTTAAATAACAATTCTCACAATTCACTTTGTGGGAAAAACAGTGATCACTATTCTGATCCATCTCCAAAATGGCAGAAGAGTAAAGTGTGGCCCTGGCCCTGGACTCTTATTTCTGCAGAATGTCTCTAACATGAAGGATTTCATTCTTGGTGAGGAAAAGTGGTAAATTATATCACTATCACTATCACCCCATTGTTGATCAATTTGCTTGAGCAGGTGCCAGTAATGTCTCCATTCGTCCCTGTCACGTGCTAGTGTAGGGCTTGCCAGGCTCTCCAAGAGGGATGGAGGCTTTTGGGGCAGCCTCTAATCACCTTTACAGGTATTCCCAGTCAGGCATATATGTGGGCAGGATATTGTTGGTAGCCCGCCGGGTTCTCTGAGAGCGAGACTAGAGAATAAGAGGTCTCGGCCGCGTGCTTCCGAGAGCTTGGTTTTATAGTCTCTGGATCTTGGCCATTGATGGGGTTACACTGCAGTTTGTAGGTGTAACCGTCTAGCTACTGGAAGATGGGGAATCTGGGTGGAAGAGAAATTTAAAAGAGAAATCCAGGTAGTATTTTGTTTTTTTTTTTATGCTGAAAAACATCTTTCAATGACTCTAGATGTTTCTTTTTCAGAAAGCTAGGAGGTTCTTCTTGTTTCCAGTTTAATCCTTGTATCTCAGTATCTATTCAGAGCTAAACCCTGTATCTCATTCCTACCACCCTAGGTCTCTGCTGAAAGAACCACAATGCGGTTCTTTTAACTTATTGATTTTTTTTTCTTTTCACTTATAAACTATCTTTCTCCCAGTTTCTTGGCCCCAACACAACAAGCATAACCTGTGGGGAAAAAACTTTCATTTTCTTAATATTAAAAAAACAAGGACTGGAGTGATAGTATAGTGGGTATAGCACTTGCCTTGCACACAACTGATCCAGGTTTGATCCTTGGCACCCCAGATGGCTCCCTGGTCTCTAGCCAGATGTGATCTCTGAGCACTGCCAGGTATGGCCTAAAACCCAAAAACAAAAAAATAGCCTAATGAAACTAATAATGTCTAATAGACATAAAAAAGTTATTCTACTATCAGGAAACAAAAATTCTTATGTGTTGTAATTCTTTTTATTTACACTCAAATATATTTCTTTTATACTTCAGGATATAATTTCAAAACTCATAATCATTAATAATGGAATTTAATAAATACCAGTTGTTACCTTTATTTATTAAATTAGTACTTTAAATATTACTTTTGGACCAGGATGATAGTAC